ACGGGAAACCCTGATGGTAACAGACAAGCTGACTTTGTTAAAAAAATATACTTATTTGAATATCGCCAATGTTTTGTTCAACAACAAGAAAATACTTTATTTGTCGGTCCACAGGGACTGGCAGTGACATGAATTACTAGTCCAAGCCTAATTTTACTGGTAAAAAACTAGTAATTACCGGTAAACAGGAAGACTGTTATTCATGTTCAGAGCTCCAGATAAGCTTTTGGTGTTGTGGGTATTTTACCCATGCATTTTAAAATCATTGGGTATCAGTAATTCTATCTGGGTATTCAAATTTCTGTTACCCACTAGTTTTTACACATGTGGGTATTTAAGTTAAGTATTTAAAAACACTATTTATCTAGTCCCTGCAAACTGGTGCTTCCACAAGAAAGTATTATGGCAAATGATCATGATGTTACGGAATGCCCGTTTATAATTTCAAAATAAGTTGCTGATTTGCTAATTGAATACGCAGGGTTACTTCACAATATTTTGATGATACGCACAAGTTTTATTTTTGTAGCGTATCTGTTATGTTTCGTTGCGTATTTGATATGCTTGGATTTTATTTTACTGCGTATTTCTGATGCGTATTTTACGCAGATACACAGCTTATCTGGAGCTCTGATGTTATTATGGAGGAATTTGTCTGAGTGGGGTATCCATGTTAAACTACAGCATGTGCTACAACAAGCAAAAGTCTGGACAAGTCCAAGCAGCCATACACACACATGCTTGTATGTCGCTATAACCCTCCTTATGTCTCTCCTCACTCACCACATAGGAATTTATCAAGACCTGATCAGAGGCAGGTAATCAGCCCCAAGTCTGCAGCAATTGTCAGAAAAACTAGGAATCAAAACTTTCCTAATTCATGTAATAAAGTCGAGCTGACATGTATTTCGCTAATAACGGGACCAGGAAGTGAGAGAGGCTTAGTTTTACATTATTGAATTGAGTGCATTGTTAATATACCTCTGAATGTAAAAACCTTTAATCATGTTAATAAATCCCAAGTTTGAACAAAATAACAATTCTTCCCTAATTTGCCTGCCAAGGACACTTAGCAGTTCCTGCTGAATTCCACGGGGAATATTTGACAGAAATGCCCATTCAATGCAGAAATGTACCTGTCTTGCAGAAAATCAATTTATGTGCAGAACTCATACAAAACATACAGAATTTGTTAAATACACTACAGTATTTTAACATGCGGGTCGAAAACTGGTTATAAATACGAAAAAAATTAAACAGACAGTTATTTTAACATTATTTGAATTGTGCTTTATATTAATTAGATCATTCCAAATAATTATTTGAAGTGTTTGTGTTAAATGGAAAAAAAGGTTTAAAAAAATACAAATGATCTTTCAAATATTCAACGTTTTGTATTATTGCTTTCTGAAAGTGCTGACACTAGGGATTGCCAGATTCACTTCAATAAACTATTCTAGCTGTGGATAAGTTCATCAGAAAAATGCATGCCACAAGTCAAACAGGTTCAAAACTATAAAATTCATGAAAACCAAACTTATAACTTTGAAGAACTGATGTGCACAATTATTATAAAATGGTTGCAGAATTTACTAAAATTGACTGCAAAGTTGGATTTGTTGACCCCGGATTACAGCAAGACTGACTTAGTTTGGAATCCCTCACCTCACCTCACCTCTTGGGAATCTTCTATTCAAAGCAAAGATCAGTGAATCCTTGCATAGCTAAGGGACTTAATTCTGCATAGCGGCTTCATGGCACCTTAGCCCACAGGGCTAACTACGCCCACTGGTGAGCAAGCAATACAGGTTTCGAAATGATCATGTATTTCATCACACATCAGTCACTGACTTGAGGAGGATTTCTCCATAACATATCAGAAATGCTGTTACCATGACAGATACTGCTTAAGCAGCTTTGGAGTCAACACAGCTAAGATGCCGAATTAGAAGCAGAAATGAGTTTGTCAAATCTTTGCATTGATGCCAATGTGTCGGAATGATTCTTTACCACTGTGTACTTTTGTACTTTCAAAACTACTTGTTTGCCGTTCTGATCAGAGGTTATCAAGCAGATCCTGCTTTTGCAGGCTTACAAGGATTTCATCATGTTTACCATGGCGGCACACATTACTTTACACAAGTGACCGCCTCCGTGGTCTAGTGGTAGAGCGTCCGCCTGGAGAGCAGAAGGTTCGGGGTCCGGGGTTCGATCCCTGGCTGCGTCATACCAAAAGACGTTAAAAGATGGTACTTGTTGTTACTCTGTCTGGCGCTCAACTTTAAGGGGCTAAAACAAGGACTGGTCGGCACAGAGTCAGTATACTGTGTCTAGTGGGGTATGCATGTTAAACAGCAGCATGGTATCTCTTGAGCTAGCACTATAAATCGGCATCAGTCCGGACTAGTACAAGCAGCCACATACATATGTGCATGCACGTCGCTATATAAGTGCAATAATCTTGGACGCGACGTTAAACCCCATTTCACCTCACCTTCTTTGCACAAAAATTTCAAGAACCAAGAGAGTGTGAAGCAGAATGTTGTTTAGATATTTTATCCAGTGTTTTCATGTTATTCAGTTTACCAGTAATTGCCAGTTATTGACCTGTGTAACAGGTTGATATATTCCCCTGGCCACTTCTTCCTCGGACTGACGTGAACAATGGCCTGAGTATTTTAGTCAATGAAAACAGTATGGCATGTGTATTTCTCAGTATACACGGTATACATGGTATAACCACCGTATTTAACACTTCAGATACTTGCATTATTGTATGTGTTAAATCATATTTCAATGCAATTGACATGTGTTAAACACTTTTGATGACATCGTTATATATCTTTTTTGACAAATAGTGACCTGAAATTAGTGGCTGTCAATTTTGACTTGTTCATGTTATAATTTATGTATACCGTATTCGACGTAATAAGCGCCCCGCTCTTATAAGCGCCCACAGCGATATTTGCTAATATACTGGCTTATGAACAATCCCAATTAGCACCCCTTCCGATTGATAAATGTACACAAGACTGTTTATTCGTGCATAATACGTTTGTTATATGCACCCTTAATCATGGGCAATAAACATTTCCGCATAAACCACGAAATTTACGCTCTTTGATCTCTGTTGTTTTTCACCAAAATAATATTCTAATAAGAGCCCCCTATTTCAAATTTTGAGAGCGCCCTGGGCGTTTCTTATGTCGAATACGGTAATAACTTTGGGTGGGATAAGTTCCTATGGATTTTGACTCGTCTCGGATTAGTGACCCTGTCAAACAGAAGAGAACAAACGCTGATATTTTTCCATCATCACTTTTTGACTTTAAATGTCCATCTTATGTTCAGACAACACAAATATGTGATGTGAGTGACTAATGGACCTACATGACAGGATAGAACCATGAACACATAATGCCATTTGATCTAGACTACCAGTTGTCAGACTTTCATTTTTGTGGAAGCTTCGGTGGCTGAGTGGGTTAGATCGCTGACTTTGTGTGCTGGTTATTAGGTGCCTCATTCTGGCAATGTGACTCAACCCTTGAAAGACCTAGAATCTGTACTTTACTGAGAAAGTGTTATCCCAAATATAACATTTGTGACAGGATAGAGCCAGAAGACAATTACCGTATTTGACGTAATAAGCGCCCAGGGCGCTCTCAAAATTAGAAATAGGGGGCTCTTATTAGAATATTATTTTGGTTATTGAATTGAAAGATCGTAAATTTTGTGGTTTATCCTGACAGCCTCAAATAATACAAAAGAAAAGTCTGTGTGTATTATACATGACCGATATATTTTCCAGAACTTAATTGCATATATTTAACACACAGGTGTGTATTATACATGAATAAATAAGTGTACATTGATCAATCAGAAGGGGTGCTAATTGGGATTGTTCACAAGTCAATATATTAGCAAATATCGCCGTGGGTGCTGATTAGAGTGGGTGCTTATTACATCGAACACGGTATTGTAGACAGAATGTTGATCTGTCCTAATTAGTGGATTGTTTAACATGTTTAACATGTTCCAGGTGCAGATAATAGTAATTAACATAATTTGTGAAACAATACCCAACAGAATAAAACATGTGAGTCAAATTGTTGACTTTTCACCATGATCTGCAAGACAACGGTATAAGGATGTACACTGAAATGTCGCTATTACAGTATAAACATAAGTTGTTATCCATCAATGGTATCTACTTAGTTATAGGCTATAGGATGAAATATTTAATAGGCATCACTTAGGAGTTGACGGATGACAAAGTGGAGATAATTTATGGATAACATCTTAAAGGTGTATAAAACTCAATGTCACTCAGCGATAACATTTGTATAACCTGTCCATGTAATGGTGCATGCCCCAGCCTATAGGATGATAAGCAAGCTCTTCCAGGTGTATAAAACTCAATGTCACTCAGCTATAACATTTGTATAACCTGTCCATGTAATGGTGCATGCCCCAGCCTATAGGATGGTTATAATGATGTAAGCAAGCTCTTCTAGGTGTATAAAACTCAATGTCACTCAGCTATAACATTTGTATAACCTGTCCATGTAATGGCACATGCCCCAGCCTATAGGATGGTTATAATGATATAAGCAAGCTCTTCCAGGTGTATAAAACTCAATGTCACTCAGCTATAACATTTGTATAACCTGTCCATGTAATGGTGCATGCCCCAGCCTATAGGATGATAAGCAAGCTCTTCCAGGTGTATAAAACTCAATGTCACTCAGCCATAACATTTGTATAACCTGTCCATGTAATGATGCATGCCTTATTTTCCTGCTTGCCATTTGGCCTATGGAAATATAGGAGCACTTTGCATATGGCTTGCCCAGAATTAATCCCAATAGTCTACATCCCTCCTGATGAATTGATCTTGTTCTGCGATACGAGTACATCCATGAAACATTAATGATATGTTGATTAATCAACGTGTACAGAAAATGGACACGTATGGTGACATGATGGTTCTGTTTCAGGAGTCTATCGAGGATGCTGTCCGGGACGTGAATCCCGACCGAGTGCTGTCCCTCATTTCGCCGACCAGCTATGACATCAACTCCAACCTGCAGCTGGCCGTGAGTGCATGATGCTGTTGTCTGGATGTGCATGATGCTGTTGTCTGGATGTGCATGATGCTGTTGTCTAGATGTACATGATGCTGTTGTCTGGATGTACATGATGCTGTTGTCTGGATGTGCATGATGCTGTTGTCTGGATGTGCATGATGCTGTTGTCTGGATGTGCATGATGCTGTTGTCTGGATGTACATGATGCTGTTGTCTGGATGTACATGATGCTGTTGTCTGGATGTGCATGATGCTGTTGTCTGGATGTGCATGATGCTGTTGTCTAGATGTACATGATGCTGTTGTCTGGATGTACATGATGCTGTTGTCTGGATGTGCATGATGCTGTTGTCTGGATGTGCATGATGCTGTTGTCTGGATGTGCATGATGCTGTTGTCTGGATGTGCATGATGCTGTTGTCTAGATGTGCATGATGCTGTTGTCTGGATGTGCATGATGCTGTTGTCTAGATGTACATGATGCTGTTGTCTGGATGTACATGATGCTGTTGTCTGGATGTACATGATGCTGTTGTCTAGATGTACATGATGCTGTTGTCTGGATGTGCATGATGCTGTTGTCTGGATGTGCATGATGCTGTTGTCTAGATGTGCATGATGCTGTTGTCTAGATGTACATGATGCTGTTGTCTGGATGTACATGATGCTGTTGTCTGGATGTGCATGATGCTTTTGTCTAGATGTACATCAGTACATGATGCTGTTGTTTAGATGTACATGATGCTGTTGTCTGGATGTACATGATGCTGTTGTCAGGATGTACATGATGCTGTTGTCTGGATGTGCATGATGCTGTTGTCTGGATGTACATGATGCTGTTGTCTGGATGTGCATGATGCTGTTGTCTAGATGTACACGATGCTGTTGTCTGGATGTACATGATGCTGTTGTCTGGATGTACATGATGCTGTTGTCTGGATGTGCATGATGCTGTTGTCTGGATGTACATGATGCTGCTGTCTAGATGTGCATGATGCTGTTGTCTAGATGTACACGATGCTGTTGTCTGGATGTACATGATGCTGTTGTCTGGATGTACATGATGCTGTTGTCTGGATGTACATGATGCTGTTGTCTGGATGCACATGATGCTGTTGTCTGGATGTGCATGATGCTGTTGTCTGGATGTACATGATGCTGTTGTCTGGATGTACATGATGCTGTTGTCTGGATGTACATGATGCTGTTGTCTGGATGTGCATGATGCTGTTGTCTGGATGTACATGATGCTGTTGTCTAGATGTACATGATGCTGTTGTCTAGATGTGCATGATGCTGTTGTCTGGATGTGCATGATGCTGTTGTCTAGATGTGCATGATGCTGTTGTCTGGATGTGCATGATGCTGTTGTCTGGATGTACATGATGCTGTTGTCTGGATGTACATGATGCTGTTGTCTAGATGTACATGATGCTGTTGTCTAGATGTGCATGATGCTGTTGTCTAGATGTACATGCTGCTGTTGTCTGGATGTGCATGATGCTGTTGTCTAGATGTACATGATGCTGTTGTCTGGATGTGCATAATGCTGTTGTCTTGATGTACATGATGCTGTTGTCTGGATGTGCATGATGCTGTTGTCTAGATGTACATGATGCTGTTGTCTGGATGTACATGATGCTGTTGTCTGGATGTACATGATGATGTTGTCTGGATGTGCATAATCATTTGATAATGCTGTTGTCTGGATGTACATGATGCTGTTGTCTGGATGTGCATGATGCTGTTGTCTAGATGTACATGATGCTGTTGTCTAGATGTGCATGATGCTGTTGTCTAGATGTACATGATGCTGTTGTCTGGATGTGTATGATGCTGTTGTCTAGATGTACATGATGCTGTTGTCTGGATGTACATGATGCTGTTGTCTGGATGTGCATGATGCTGTTGTCTGGATGTACATGATGCTGTTGTCTGGATGTGCATGATGCTTTTGTCTAGATGTACATGATGCTGTTGTTTAGATGTACATGATGCTGTTGTCTGGATGTGCATGATGCTGTTGTCTGGATGTACATGATGCTGTTGTCTAGATGTGCATGATGCTGTTGTCTAGATGTACATGATGCTAGTGTCTAGATGTACATGATGCTGTTGTCTAGATGTACATGATGTAGGACAGTGTTACGTTCCACTTCGCTAGCTAGAAATAAAACATCAATAATTTCAGGCTGAACATCTGGTGCCACCAGTAATGTACACTACTCCATACACATACTGAAATATTATCATCCCTCACTAAGGAGTGGAAGGGGGTATAGGAATGGGTGCTGTCTGTCCGTCCATCCGTCCATCCATCCTTCCGTTCGTCTGTCACGTATTGTCTCCGGAGCAGAACCCCCAACCCATGAGAGATATCTTAACCAAACTTGGCTCATAGATAGGTCTAGTGGTAAACTGGTGGCTTTTGATAGTTTGGGATTTTTTTTAAAAATTCACATTAGGCCATTTACAAAAAGTTCCAGCAAATGTAGTTCACAGGAGCTAATGCATTGCACAAAACCGGATGTATATCATTGGCGGGGGATACGAGTATTTCATGAGTGGCGTAAGAAAAAACAAAAAAAACAACATAAATCCGATGCTCCTGATGTCAATCATTGGATTGTCTGACCCAGACTTGATAACTTGTAGGCCGCCATCATACAGCTGCAATATTAATGAGTGTGGCATTAAACAACATACAAATAAAACAAATTGACATTCCATTGACTCACTCACACGCTTCCTGTTGATACAGTTGCCGCCGGATTTATTCTTCACAGCAGTGGATGGCGTCACTGCCAAGCCGAAGGAATACCGCTGTGCCGCTCAGATGGTGTACCTTCTCCGCAACATCGGAGCAAAGATCAATGTGCAGGATGGGGTGAGCAGATGAATCAGATTATAGTATTATGATATTGTTCATGCATCATCTGAGCCAAAATACCATTGAAATAAATTTTAAAAAGTTGTGGTTTTTTTAAATTTTTATCACTGCCAATCCAAATTAGAATTAAAAAAACTAAATAGATTTCTAGAATCTTGCAATGCAGTAATGAGACACGTTTGCCAAAATCTACTACTTTCCAGAGGAGATCTGCAATGATTTCCATGACCGTGCAGTGTTTTCAGTTAGGCTAACCAAAAAATATTCTTGGTTCTCAGGCATCGCCGCATCATCATAAAGTTCACTACATGTTTCATTTTTATTGCCATTTTTACAACAACAACAACAACAAAAATCCTTAAATATTCCAAGTCCAACGGTAGTCAAATACTGTATTCCAGTGTATTACTCATCAAGGAATACATTTATGTAGGGAGGCCCTTTCCCAGGTTGATTGTACACAACTGTTTATTTCGTTACACATCTGTTTATTTGGGTACATACTGCCCGCACTATATTCAAAAGCCATTGTCTGAGTACCAATTCTTTTATTTTTCTAAGCCTAAAGTGCCAATAGAATCAACTTACTAGTTAGTCAGTGATGACAAGAAGCACCACAAAATACAAGAATATATAAATCTCTGAATGTAATCTATATTTTTTGTGGTCAACATGGTAGAAAGCAGTGGAAGGGAAGGGTTTATCGAGATATTTGCTCATGGTATTTGAAAGTTGTCAACAATCATTTTTAAATACATAAATGTGATTCTCAAACTTCCACTGTACATTTTCTGTATGTATCATGGGCCTATGGCCTACAATACACTTGAATAAAGAACCAGAGTAGTGGGACGATACTCTAATGCATCGGTGGATCATGATTTTTCTACTTGTTGATACAAGTATCGATCACTGTCGCACACAAAGTAAAAATATCAATTGCCTTAATAACTGTCACACTAAACAGTAATTAGTAATAAGATTACTAGTGAAAACGTAAAGATTTTCATCCATTGCGCCATACTTGACACTGCCAACTGTAAATCGTCAGTGTGGTGGTATTTGGCTACCCTGTGTATAAAAAAAGATGGCTTACATACCACAGATAAGAGCACATGCAAGTATCGGGATACATATCAGATCATGAACAAGATATCGGGGTACGTATCGGATTGCACAGTTGGTGTATCGTTCCAGCCCTAATATTTGACTTGCACCCATGCTGTGTTTGCAGAACGGAGACACGCCGTTGTTGAAGTACCTGAAGACTGGCAGCGTGCAGCCCGATGTCGTGGAGGCCTTCCTCCGATGTAATGCTGATGTCTACCTGTCCAACAAGGTATGACAGGGTACACCATGTACACTGGGTTAGAATATACCACATTAGATTGATCATTGGTTTTATAATGCAATAGATTGATTACAAATCAGTCATGAATTTTTTTAATCGAGAATACGTCAAAATATGTTTCGAAGCATAGTCGCCAGTTTGAAATCCCATTACAGGTCACGTCAGATCGACCTATCGCGAATTTGGACCAACCATTGAATTGACATTAGCCAATCAGAAGGCAGCTTTCTTGAGTTTTACGACACTAATTTCAAACTGGCGACTATGCTTCGAAACATATTTTGACGTATTCTCGATTAAAAAAATTAAAACTGATAAGAAGAATATTCCTGAATGGCTTATAGATGGCCTACATTTTATAGATATAATCATAAAACCCGTAACTGTCATTCGGAATACCCCGTGTTAAATAGTTCGTGGTTGCATGATTAGAAAACACATTCCGACTCACTTTCATGATCTGGTAAGCGACGCTCTGATTGGTTGTATGAAAGGTCGTTCTGACGTGACCCTTAAATGGGATTTCCTCAGATCTTTGTTTAGCAATAGCGAGAACTAAGATCTGATTTTAATTAGGTTGGCATGACAATGTTAGGAGGATCTGTACTGATATGTCACAACAGCAGTACAGAGAGTGTATCATAGAAGTGTTGTGGAGAAATTGTGTCCAGGGTGTCATCTTTCAACTCACTCATGTCTTGTTGTGCTGCTGCAGGTAGGCGAGTACCCCCTGGAAGTGGTGACAGTGTGTCCTGACATCCCCAAGTCGGTCAAAGACGTCTTCATGAAATATGTGGTAGGTACCGGTAACCATGGTTACTCATACTTCCAAATTGTTGGTTGCTTGTTATGTGACTGAACCGCCTTCATGGTCTAGTGGTAGAGCGTCCGCCCGGAGAGCGGAAGGTCCGGGGTTTGATCCCCAGCCGCGTCATACCAAAAGACGTTAAAAGATGGTACTTCTTGTTACCCTGTCTCGCGCTCGGCATTAAGGGGCTAAAACAAGGACTGGTCGGCTCGGAGTCAGTATACTGTGTCTGAGTGGGGTATTCATGTTAAACTGCGGCATGGTATCTCAGTGGGCTAGCACTATAAATCGGCATCAGTCCGGACTAGTACAAGCAGCCACACACACACACACACACACACGTACGTGCATGCACGTCGCTATATAAGTGCAATAATCTTGGACGCGACGTTAAACCCAATTTCACCTCACCTCGAATGTTATGTGACTGGAATGCCAGTATGGATGCATTGTGGCTAATTGTAAGTAACAGGGTCACCAATGACACGTGACTTGACAGGCTTATGTTCGTGTGAGAGCGAAAGAATGGGAGTTTGATCACCTGGCCACGTTATACAAGAAGACGGTAAAAGTTAGTATTTGTTGTTACCCTGTCTGGCGCTCAGCAATAAGGGGAACAATCAGAACTGGTCAGCTCGGAGTCAGTATACTGTGTCCAAGTGCGGTATCCATGTTAAACTGGTCAGCTCGGAGTCAGTATACTGTGTCCGAGTGAGGTTTCCATGTTAAACTGGTAAGCTCGGAGTCAGTATACTGTGTCCTAGTGAGGTATCCATGTTAAACTGGTCAGCTCGGAGTCAGTATACTGTGTCCGAGTGAGGTATCCATGTTAAACTGGTCAGTTCAGTCAGTATACTGTGTCCGAGTGAGGTATCCATGTTAAACTAGTCAGCTCGGAGTCAGTATACTGTGTCCGAGTGAGGTATCCATGTTAAACTGTGGCATGGTATCTCAGGAGGCTAGCACTTTAAAACTGGCATACGTCTTGACTAGTACAAACAGCCACACACATATATGAATGGATGTTGCTATACAATCATAATAATAAATGATAAACTACATTTTAGCTCACCTAAGACATGTAAGATGAACCATTGAGTGTCCTTGCAGTCAGTGGAGGAGGCTCTGATGTCTGTTAGTTATTTTTACTGTTACTACTTCAGGACTTGCAATTTCTTTCTTTGAAAGCCAATTCATTTTAAGTATACTAAGTTAACAATTCATGGCTTTTGTAGAATTTGCAGCAAAACTATGTTAAAGAATTTTAGATGGTCGGTCCCGAGAAATGGATCAATGTATGTGACCAACCAGGACAGAAGGGATCTTATGGGTGCTGGGATACAAGTGTGCCATGACATCATAAAGACGTTTGACGTCAACTTATTTCAGTGAAGGTCACCATGTGTGATGTCATGTATCTCTGTAATAAAAATGAACTGAAGGTTGTGAATTGAATTCTGTTCCGAAGATGCTGTAGTTTAAAAATATGATGAAAATTCAAAACAATATCTTGTTAACCCAAGATCCGGGGTAGATTAGGTCTTCAGCAACCCGTGCTTACCATAAAGAGCGACTATGCTTAAGAGGCGACTAACGGGATTGGGTGGTCAGGCTCACTGACTTGGTTGATGCATGTCATCGTATCCCATTTGCATGGATCAATGCTCATGATGTCAATCACTGGGCTGTCTGGTCCAGACTCGATTATTTACAGACCATCATCATATAGCTGGGATATTGCATTACTACAATATTATACTACATGATCTGTGGAGAAATGCACCCGTTTCCACCAGTTTCAAACCATTCCCATGTTGCAGCCTGGAATCTGGGAGGCTGTGGAGGGGGATGACGCCATGAATGTCCGGAAGCTCATCAACCAGTGGTGTCGTGTGGACATTGAAAAGGTGAGTAGTGGAACTTCATGTCCCAGGGCGTCTTCCTGACGGGCAAGTGTGTCCACTTGTCTGTATCAAAGCCTAATTTCTACCAAAGGCAAGCATGTACACTAGCCTATATCAAAGTCTAGTTTCTACCCGAGGCAAGCGTGTCCACTAGTCTGTATCAAAGCCTAATTTCTACCCAAGGCAAGCATGTCCACTAGCCTATATCAAAGTCTAATTTCTACCCAAGGCAAGTATGTCCACTAGCCTTTACCAAGCCTAATTTCTACCCAAGGCAAGCATGTCCACTAGCCTATATCAAAGCCTAATTTCTACCCGAAGCAAGCATGTCCACTAGCTTATATCAAAGCCTAATTTCTACCCAAGGCAAGCATGTCCACTAGCCTATATCAAAGTCTAGTTTCTAGCCAAGGCAAGCATGTCCACTAGTCTATATCAAAGTCTAGTTTCTACCCAAGGAAAGCATGTCCACTAGCCTATATCAAAGCCTAATTTCTACCCTTACCACATCAAGGCCACTTTTCTTGGCTCGACCCTAGCGCCACCTTGCGTAGACCACGAGTTGTGCCTCTTGTTATGAAAATGCGATATCCAGTCAGATCGCTGTTCTTATCTCATATAGCTTCACAAAGATGGCTACTAACATAGGTTGACGACCTAGTTGATCAGATAACAAAAACATTCACGATTTCATCCCTGACACATAGGCAATCGTTGGGGGGTTTAAAAGATAAAAAAGACATATTCGTGTCAACAAAGAAGGTGTACCAGTTTTGTGAAACATTCTCTGATTGGACTATCGACATGTGCGATAGTCAAATCATATTTAGCACAGGAAAGTGGGCTTGAAGTGTGGAAACAAGACCTATGTTGTCATGAGAGGCGAGTCAGTGAATGGGTACCCGGTAGGCTGAGATGGTAATGTGGTGGTCGGGTGATTTGTAGTGCAAGGCTGAACACATGTGATTTTATGGTTCAAACCACCATTAACACCATAATCATTTGGAAAAACGTGAAAAGAAAATGGGAAACATGTTACAAGTACGTATTTCTCTTTCAGAATGGGAAGAGTTTGCTGCAGCTGTCTCTGGACATCGGGACTGAGAGCATCATCCGAGTCATCAGCGGGATCCGGCCCTCCATGGTGAGTCTGTACACTGACACCTGCAGACACACACAGACACACACAGACACACACACACACACACACACACACACACACACACACACACACACACACACACACACACACACACACACACACACACACACATGTGCACGCGCACACACACACACACATGTGCACGCGCGCACACACACACACACACACACACACACACACACACACACACACATGTGCACGCGCGCACACACACACACACACACACACGAGACAGAGCAATGATGGCCTCATCACACAGATCTACTGATCATGAGCTTTTTGTTTGTCATTTGTTAAGTATTACCCCAATCAGTTTTCTTGCGGAGAAAAAAATAAACTAAAAAAATTGAAAAGTCAAACTAGCTAAGGCATAATTAAGTTATTTATTTAAATTGACATTGTGACAATGTAAACAACCTACAGCACTGCTTAAACAGTGTTAAACAACAAACAAACAAAGAAACAAAATGAATAGCCCCAGTACCCACACAAGACGTTAGACCGCCTGATGAGGATGAGGTGGCTACAATGTGTGACCTCATGCCTCATCAGTATGGAATGGTGCTCATGGTATCAGCCATTTGTCTGTCCAGATTTGACTATTACAAGCAGACTTTGGATGGAATGTTGCTGTCTGACATTAAGACATTAAGACAAGTACATTCACTCGGATGACCCTCCTATGGGGGGCACGGGTGGCCCAGTCGTCTAAGGCGCTGCGATTCGCTGTGCAGAGTTGTGTCCCTTTGACATACATGAAACTTATAATCATGAGTTTGGATTGTCAGCACCATATTTGTACTCGTAGCTTTTGCTACTTTGGGCTTTCCTCTTACTCAGCTAACACAGGATGATTTAACATAATACGAAGCAGTATTAAACCCAACTCATTCACTTTCTCTATGCAGGAGTTTGCCCACGGGGTGCTGGCTGGGGACACTCTGACTGTGAAGAAACTGCTGTCCACCAGGAAAAAACACATCAACCTTAACTTCAGAAACATGGTGAGTCCACAAGACACAGCTTCCTAAGACAGGAGCGTCCACTAGTCCATTTATCAAAGTCTAGTTTCCACACACTTCTGTGCATCGTCAGTAATTCACTTTGCAATGTAATCGCTTAATTTAACCAACATATCAAACCTTGGACTGCTTCTAGTACTAAAGAGGAGACCCGTGCAGATCCGGGGTAGAATAGGTCTTCAGCAACCCATGCTTGCCGTAAAAGACGACAATGATTGTCATATGATGCATGTCATTGTATCCCAATTACATGGATAGTTGCTTTTGATGTCAATCTCTGGATTGTCTGTACCAGACTAGATTATTTACAGACCGCCCTCATATAGCTGGAATATTGCTGAGTGGGGCGTTAAACAACGAACAAACCAAAGAGAAAACCAGCTAGTGTTTACACCATTCACATGACATTGGTGATATTTCTTGAGCAACATGACTTGTATGCATTGCTTCAAGGACTTTCAACAGAAGGTTTTGTACAATCTATTTGAATCCTGTGAGCTATTTGTAGCAGGGCGTGGAGTCATCCTTACCTTGTCAGCTTGCTGACGGGGTTAACCTCTTTGGTCATGTGGACAAGGCACTGGGCCTCTGATCAGAAAGTCTGTGGTTCGAATCCCATCACGGGACTCAGAAATTTTATGGCCGCTACATTGACGCCCAACGTAGGGCTAAGCACGTTCATATTAAATTTGAGCAAAATAAGCCTCAGTACCCTACTATGCGGCCTGGGACGTGCCTTCTGTTGGCGGAGTATGTAGCAGGGTGTGGAGTCATCCCACAGATGACATCCTTACCTTGTCAGCTTGCTGACGGGGTTAACCTCTTTGGTCATGTGGACAAGGCGCCGGGCCTCTGATCAGAAGGTCCGTGGTTCGAATACCATCATGGGACTCGGAAATTTTATGGCCGCTACATATACATGGCCTTATTACATCACCTGACTTACACAAGACTCACGTCACGGCATAGCCACACATGTATTGATGGGTGATGGTAGAACATCGTGTGTAAACACCTGTGAAGTATTGAGTTTTTGAGCTTTGGCTCTCTAAGGGTGTTTATGTGGTTTCTGCAAAGTCATTGTACATCTTTTTAAAAATTTCAATACCAAATTGAGTTGCATGGCTTTTAAGTAGCTGTTTGAATGATAAATAATTCAAAGACATGTTCAGAAGTATTGATTGCTGTTGAAGACGTTTGGAATAGATTTACCTGTTAGCTGGGAGCAGGTAAAGTGTGAACAGTGATGGTAATGATAGTAGATGTCATGCTGACCTGTTCTGTAATCTCCAGGGTGACCGCGGTGCCACGCCCCTCCTCTATGCACTGGTCCAGGGCCACAGCGACATGGTGCAGGTCCTGCAGGACCACGGAGCTCGGGTCGACCTCGGCATGCGAGGCGATGAGGAGGTCAGTGTCTGTATTCTTTGTGTTCAGTCTGTGTGGGCATGGTGGGGTAGCCTTGTGGTTAATGCTCACTCACTCACTCACTCACTCACTCACTCACTCACTCACTCACTCTACTCACTCACTCATCCTCTCGCTCAATCATTCACCCACTCACTCATTCACCCACTCACTCATTCACCCACTCATTCACTCGCTCCTTCACTCACTCGCTCATTCACCCACTCACTCATTCACCCACTCATTCACCCACTCATTCACCCACTCACTCATTCACCCACTCACTCACTCACCCACTCACTCACTCACTCACTTACTCACTCATCCACTCAATCATCCACTCAATCATCCACTCAATCATTCACCCACTCACTCATTCACCCACTCACTTATTCACCCACTCACTCATTCACCCACTCACTCACTCACTCACTCACCCACTCACTCATTCACCCATTCACTCACTCACTCACTCACCCACCCACTCACTCACTCATCCACTCAATCATTCACCCATTCACTCACTCACTCACTCACCCACCCACTCACTCACTCACTCATCCACTCAATCATTCACTAACTCATTCACCCACTCGCTCATTCACCCACTCACTCATTCACCCATTCACCCATTCACTCACTCACTCACTCACCCACTCACTCATTCACCCACTCACTCACTCACTCACTCACCCACCCACTCACTCACCCACCCACTCACTCACTCACTCACTCATCCACTCAATCATTCACCCACTCACTCATTCACCCACTCACTCATTCACCTACTCACTCACTCATTCACTCACTCACCCACTCACTCATTCACCTATTCACTCTCACTCACTCACTCACCCACTCGCTCATTCACCCACTCACTCATTCACCCACTCACTCACTCACTCACGCTCCTACTCATTCACCCACCCACTCACTCACTCACTCACCCACTCACTCACTCACTCATTCACCCACTCAATCATTCACCCACTCATTCATTCACCCACTCACTCATTCACCTACTCACTCACTCATTCACTCACTCACCCACTCACTCATTCACCTATTCACTCTCACTCACTCACTCACCCACTCGCTCATTCACCCACTCACTCATTCACCCACTCACTCACTCACTCACTCACTCACGCTCCTACTCATTCACCCACCCACTCACTCACTCACTCACTCACCCACTCACTCACTCACTCATTCACCCACTCACTCATTCACCCACTCATTCACTCATCAACTCGCTCATTCACCCACTCACTCACTCACTCACTCATCCACTCACTCACTCATCCACCCACTCATTCACCCACTCACTCATTCACCCACTTACTCACTCACTCACTCACTCACTCATCCACTTAATCATTCACCCACTCACTCATTTACCCACTCACTCATTCACCCACTCTCACTCACTCACCCACTCTCACTCACTCATCCACTCAATCATTCACCCACTCACTCATTCACCCACTCACTCATTCACCCACTCACTCATTCACCCACTCACTCATTCACCCACTCACTCACTCACCCACTCACTCACTCACTCATTCACCCACTCACTCACTCACTAACCCGTGAAGATCCGGGGTAGAATTGGTCTTCAGCAACCCATCCTTGCCCTAAGGGGCAACTAACAGGATCAGGTTGTCAGGCTCGTTGACTTGGTTGATGAATGTCATTGTATCCCAATTAAACAACAAACAAACATTCGTATGATCTCCATGGCATGTTTGCCTTGTGTGGATTCCACATCAGGCCATAAGCCTCACGCTTGTCCTGAGAGCCTCTCCCCTCCTTTGTGACTCCACTATGAGGGATCGGGGGATAAGGCTCTGTGAGTCCTCACATTAGCATGGTAAGGGAAGGGGACATCTGTCTCTGTGATCTCAGAGATTTACCTTGTGGTCAGTATTCAGCCCCAAATTTGCAGCAAACGTTGGTAAAAATATCCTTAACTGGAATACAACCCGTTCAGATTATAATATATATTATGTTGATATTAATATTTCAATTTGGCAACATCAAAGATCGATGATTTTGTTCAAAGGCCCATTTAATAGGAAATGACTTTAATACTATTGATGTAAGGGAGATAACTCTCATCCCGGAAGTTTTGGTGTTATGATAGCGTGTGAACTGTATCAGAAATGTTGACAGTTGTACATGGTTGTAAGTATAGAATGTTACCTTGATTGTGCCGTCTGTTGTCATAGTGTTTATAGAATGACTGCGTGTGTGTGGAGACTATTGTTTTGTCAGTTGTATCATGAAAGTCTAACAAATAACAACATTTGACCCTGTTGAGTTCTGTTGCCTATCAATATGTTACACATTATTGCTTTAACCAATCATGTCATCTTTGTCATTTTTGTTGAAGCATATCAATGCCATTCTGTTGTAGACGGACATTCCACTGTACTTTGCTGCCTTGGGTTGTGACCCTCCGATCTGCCCCAGCCTGTTGATACAGATCCTGCCCCTAGGACCCATCAGTATAGACAATCTCTTCTATAAGGTAGGTTGTTAGTTGAACATTTATCAATGGCCCATAGAGTAAAATTTATGGCTCATACCTGCCAAAAATGGCCCCTAAAATTTATAAACATCTATTTATAGCGCAACCGTAAATAAGCTCCGCCCACTGTCATTGATGTTGACGCCAAACACAATCGATTCAATTTTTTATGATAAAAATACAGATAATTTATTGACTTATATCTTAATATGGAGCCATTTGTTGTATCCATGGTTTGTCATTCAAGTTGATACGAAGTTTGATGGTCAATGGTGATCTTGTTCCTGTATGGTTTTCAAAAAGCTTCTCCCGACACTTTGTTGTTTTTCACATTGTCAGTCATTATTCGAAACTGAAACACTGCCACCTTGCGAGCTATTTATAGTCAGGGTGGGGCTATAAGGCACATGAAGAATGTTTCCTTCTTAATCGCTGAAAGTATTACTGAATTAGTAACTCATGTGCAGATGTTAGTTGGCCATGTTTTACTGCAGTCCATATGCTATGTAATGGTATTCTAAATAATGTTGTCAGCAATTGCTTTTTTTGAAATTGTTTTCAAAGTATAAGGATATGGCTACACAAATTAATTTCATGACCAATAAGGTGATTTGGTAATACCCTGGTATATTGCCTCTATAATTTATGACCCGTGAAGATCTGGGTTAAAATAGGTCTTCAGCAACCCATGCTTGCCATCAAAGGCGACTATGCTTGTCATAAGTGGGGACTAATGGCATCAGGTAGTCAGGCTCTCTGGCTTGGTTTATGCATGTCATTGTATCCCAATTGTGTGGATCGATGCTCACGATATCAATCACTGGATTGTCTGGTCCAGACTCGATTATTTACAGACTGTCGTCATATTGCTGAGTGCTGCGTTAAACAACAAACAAACAGATCAAAATTCTGTCAGCATCTTGAATGATAAACATGAATTAATTAACGGAGTTAGAGATAACAAGGTATCACTGTATTTTATGACCTTGATATCAATCACCTGATTGTCTGGTCTAGATTCGATAATTTACAGCGTTAACCAACCAACAAACAAACAAACATGATTTACAGTATTGGACTGATGGCAAGTAGTTACAGCCTACTTTTCAAGGACAGTGTGAAAGGTGTGTAAACTTTAGAATGAGATAAGTGTGGCCTAAGACCTGCCCCTTGTTTCAGGGCAAGAACGTGTTGTTCCACTGCATCGACATGGATGTGCGGCCGGAGGTCGTGGAGGGCATCCTCATGAAGGGCTCAGCGTATCTCGTCACACAGAGGATCAAGGTAAGTGGGACACAAGCTTTCAAATACTGTAAATCTTGACTGCTGACTCCTAGCCAAAAATGTGACTCAAAATTAATGCGTCTCCCCCACCCACCCCCAACACCCTATCCCCAGTGGATTGATACATATCCTTACCAACCATTAATCCAACCATTTTTCGCATTTAATTCACGCTTACAGTATTACTATTGAGGACTTGTATTATGGTTTTATTGTACGATCATCTTGGTGTCTCACTTTGCACAAATCTCACAGACCTGTGAAGATCGGGGCCTTTAGCAACCCATGCTTGCTATAAAAGGTGACAATCCTCGGTGTAAAGGCAACTAACGGGGACCGGGTGGTCAGGCTTTCTGACTTGGATGATGCATGGCATCATATTCCATAATGTCAGTCACTGGATTGTCTGGTTCCAGACTCGATTATTTACAGACTGACGTCGTATTGCTGGAATATCGGTGAGTGTTGTGTCTAAAACAACAAACAAACCAACCGAACAAAATGAGTCCAACACACTCACTGTCTTCATGTTATTCCTTGGAGGATGGATGGCTGCAGTTTTCTATGTAGAGTTGCCTCCCTTAGGCATGCCAGGATTCTATGATCCTGGTTTCATCAAAGAGGGTGATGTCTAAGGTTTGCATCACTTTTTCATTTCCTCCTTTATTAAGTTGATGCTGTGAATTTACTGGAATACTGAAATCGGTATGAACCCCAACTCACTCACTCCCTCATGTCATACCTAATCAATGTATACTTGCAGGACAACATCACACCAAGACAATATGCCTACCAGATGTCGTGTGACCCCATCGCAGAGGTCATGGATAAGGTTGGTTTGTGTTCATTATGACTGACTAACAAGACTCTCCCAGCCAAGCCTGTAATACTGACAGTATTTCTGATAGGAGGGGGCACAATATAACCAGTACGGCTGGGACGAGTCCAAATTTACTCCCTGGGTACCCACTGTAGGTCTCAAGAGATGTGATTGCATACACTGAATTTAACAGAAGCTTTATCTTTATTTAAACATATGAAATTCACTCACTCACACATCCACTCACACATCCACTCACACATCCACTCACTCACTCACTCACACATCCACTCACTCACCCATCCACTCACTCACTCATGCATCCACTCACTCACTCACTCACACATCCACTCACTCACTCACCCATCCACTCACTCACTCACACATCCACTCACTCACTCACTCACACATCCACTCACTCACTCACACATCAACTCATGCATCCACTCACTCACTCACTCACACATCCACTCACTCACACATCCACTCACTCACCCATCCACTCACTCACTCACTCACACATCCACTCACTCACTCACTCACACATCCACTCACTCACTCACACATCCACTCATGCATCCACTCACTCACTCACTCACACATCCACTCACTCACTCACTCACACATCCACTCACACATCCACTCACTCACTCATGCATCCACTCACTCACTCACTCACTCACTCACTCACTCACCCATCCACTCAACTTGTAAAACTTTGAAACTCAGGTAGGATATATAGCACCACAATGGGAAGTAATTATGACCAAGGCTATGCATAACAACAGATCAACGCTCTGATATAGTTTCAGTGTTTGTCATGCAACAAATTAAAAGAAATTTCTCCTTTCAGATTGTTCTTCGGTGGATATTTCATGAAAACGGTCCCAATAGGAAGATCCTGGCTCTCCATGGCTACGAATACCTGCCCATGGCTGTGAAGGTGGGCTGCTGATTCTGTGGATGTTAAAATTGGTCCGCAGCAATCTATGTAAACTAATAAGACAACATCGAGCCAACATAAGAGCCGGTGTCTCACTGACTTGGTTAATCGCATGTCAATGCACCCAGCGGGGCTCATAATGTCAATCACTGGTTTGTCTTGTCCAGAATTGATTATTTAAAGACCGCCATCATATAGCTGGAATATTGCTGAGCGTGGCGTTAAACAACAAACAAACAAACAAACTGTGCCTGCTCTATCTCTATCAGGGGCTGTCGGGTAGCCTAGTGGTTAAAGCATTCGCTCGTCACGCCAAAGACCCAGGTTCCATTCCCGACATGGGTACAATGTGTGAAGCCCATTTCTGGTGTCCCCCGCCGTGATATTGGAATATTGCTAAAAGTGGCGTAACACCATACTCACTCACTCACTATCTCTATCAAGGATATTTATACTGATATATTTGTCTGGAGCATTATTTGTATTCTGTTTCAGGATCTGTCCCATGCAGACTCTGAAGAATCCCCCGGTGACGCCTTCTTTAGAATACTTCCGATATACCAGGTGAGAGACCAGAAGGCCATAGATAGTTTCTCCATCTTGTCAGACTTCAGTTTTAATTTATTCTCAACAAACCACCAGATGTCAGCGTTCTAAATACCTGCCTGCCCGACCGTCCGAGACGGGTTGATTTCAACTCGGCGTGTCAGATTTTCAAATCCCCCTGCCCGACGGTCGGGTTATATTTCATAGGTGAAAATATTCTAAATATTTCCCGATGATAAGCATTAACTCACATGTAAAGATGAATGATAAAATGTAACCAAAAAGAAACCCAGTTAGCTTTTAGACAACCTAACATTTAGCGATGCGCTTATGCTACAAGCAATCAGTTTTCATATTTTTAATTAAATAATCCTGAGAAACATATGATTATAGTGGGCAGGCAGGTTTTGGTCAGGGCTGGCAAGTATTTCAGCTAGCCAGTCCTGTGGTCTGGCTGAAATTTTTGAGAGTTTCATACCCTGCAGATGTATACCATAGCAGTTGTTTTAATTAAAACCGGTTTGCCAAGTTTGAGTATTCACTGGATTGTCTGGTCCAGACTCGATTATTTACAGACCACTGTCATATAGATGGAATATTGCTGAGTGCAGCATTAAACAACAAACAACATCAACAACTCCTAACTTGTGTCAAGGACATTTTGTGTAGACTTGCGTGTTCCAGAACCTTATCTTGTAGGTTTGAGTCCCAAGGTATGGTTCTTGGTTTGTCAGCACAGTGATGTAATAGAAATACTGTTGCAAGCAGTGTTAGAGCCAGCTCACTTCTGTGTCTTGTGTCTTCCTAAACAGCACCGGATTGTACAGTTCCACGAGTCAGTCGAGGACTGCGACGTGGATGCTGTCCGCATGCTGCTATACTTCTCATCACCGGACTACAACCCAGAGTTTGAGTGCTGCCTAGCGGACTCACGCACACATGTAAGTTCTCTAACATTGGAACATTTTCCTGATTATCTCCACCTGCTCTTCAGCCCCATTGACATTTTACGGATAACCCCAAGTAGCCCATGCTTGTCGTAACAGCCAAGTAACTTGAGAATCAGGTGCTTTAATGTGTGACCTGAAGGATGGCATTATCGTACACGAAGGACTCCTACATGGGTGTGATGCCCATTTCTGATGTCCCCCGCCGTGAAATAGCAGGACTATTGCTAAAAGTGGCATAAACCTAATTGATGTGAGGTGAAATAGGGTTTAATCTCCCATCTAAGATTCCACTTACATAGCAACATGCATGCACGGGTGTGTGTGGCTGCTTGTACTGGTCCAGAGGTGTACTGAGCCACCTCTACTGACTGCAAGGACACTCAATGGTTCATCAACATGTCTCAGGAGAACTTAAATGTGGTTTATCGTTTCTTCAAGATTATTATGCTTGTATAGCAACATCCATGCATATATGTGTGTAGCTGTTTGTACTAGTCCGATATGTGCCAGTTTTTTACTGCTTGCCCACTGAGATACCATGCCACAGTTTAACATGAATACCCCACTTAGACACAGTATGCTGACTCTGAGCCAGCCAGGTACTTGTTTTAGCCCCTTAATGGCGAGGGCCAGGCAGGGTAACAACAAGTTCCCCCAACCTTTCTCTCACCGGGCGGACGACCCACCACTAGACCAGTCGGCAGCAGCTAGACTAACCCACTCACTTGGTGCCTTACATATGATATAACGTTCATTTGTGTCTTCTGTCTTTTATGGTGATAACAAGTATCATTGACTTGAGGATTGTTTAGAACAGCTGATCTGATTACTAGGGTAGTGTGATCAAGATATTACTTGTTTTACTAAATGCAACCCACGAAGATTTGGGGTAGAATTGATCTTCAGCAACCCATGTTTGTCTTAGGAGATGGGATCGGGTGGTAAGGCGCATTGGCTTGGTTGATGCATGTCATCATATCCCAAATGTGTAGATTGATGCTCATGATGTCAATCACTGGATTGTCTGGTCCAGGCTTGAATATTTACAGACCGTCGTCATATAGCTGGAATATTGCTAAGTGCAGTATTTAACAAACAAACTATACAAGATGTTCAGCCCCCCTGCTCACAAGATATCGAGCTAGTCCATACTTCTGTAATCTGTAGGATTAATAGGTTCCTTATTCTCATGGAAGCTTTGACCTTTACAGTACTGTTGATGATGTTAAAATCTCCCACCCTTCATCTGTTGATGTGTTGCCATGGTTACAGGGTGAGGGACAACCTCCACTCCACAAGGCTGTACTTCGAGGCTGCTACGAAATTGTGGAATTACTGGCGGAGACTCTGGTATACGAGAAGAAGACCAGGCTGGACTCCATCAGGGATCAGGTTAGGAAGCACTTTTCTTTTCTTTTTTTGGATTACAGTAATAATTAAGTGTATGCAGTATACAGTTTTAGTATGCAGCCAGGTTTTAGGAAACATGTGTCAATTTGTATGATGATTATTTATTTCACATTCGTTTTCATGATAAGCATTGAAATTGCAAAGCTAAATCTAAAAGAAAAATAGTGTTGGTTCTCAGGCACCACCCTATTCATCATAAAGTCTGCTGCATGTTTCGTTTTTATTTCTATTTAAAAAAAAATAAATCCTAATACTTAAAAATAATGTGATTCAATATACCATGCAGTTACTTCCCTTTACAGGCACACTGCTTTACTGCACATCTCGTGTTATGGTCTTGGTGGCAATAGGAGTTTGTATGCTTGTTTATGTAGGGAGGCCCTTTCTCAGGTTGATGGTACACAATTGTTCATCTGGTAACATACCAGTTTGAACAAGCCAAAATAAAAACACCGCCTGCCCACTCTATATTTTCAAAAGTCATTGCCTGAGAACCAATTCTATTTTTTTTTTTAGCCTTAGCTTGGTTGATTGCATGTAATCATACCCCAACCACTTGAGGTGATGCTCATGATATCAACCACTGGTTTGTTTGGTGCCGATTATCTTCAGGCCACCTTGATACAGCATTAATATTGCTAAACATGGACTAAAACAACAAACAAGCAAAAAATGTAGAAATATATCTTATACTCCTGGGCCCCGTTCAACAAAGCAATTGTAGAACTACGACTGTCGTAGGTCTATGTTAAAGTATGGGAATTACGATTGTCTTAGCACTACGACTGTCGTAGGTCTATGTTAAAGTATGGGAGTTACGATTGTCTTAGCACTACGACTGTCGTAGGTCTATGTTAAAGTATGGGAGTTACGATTGTCTTAGCGCTACGACTGTCGTAGGTCTATGTTAAAGTATGGGAGTTACGATTGTCTTAGCGCGACAACTGTCGTAGGTCTATGTTAAAGTATGGGAGTTACGATTGTCTTAGCACTACGACTGTGGTAGGTCTGCGTAAAGTATGGGAGTTACGATTGTCTTAGCACTACGACTGTCGTAGGTCTATGTTAAAGTATGGGAGTTACGATTGTCTTAGCGCTACGACTGTCGTAGGTCTATGTTAAAGTATGGGAGTTACGATTGTCTTAGCGCTACGACTGTCGTAGGTCTATGTTAAAGTATGGGAGTTACGATTGTCTCAGCGCTACGACTGTCGTAGGTCTATGTTAAAGTATGGGAGTTACGATTGTCTTAGCGCTACGACTGTCGTAGGTCTATGTTAAAGTATGGGAGTTACGATTGTCTTAGCACTACGACTGTCGTAGGTCTATGTTAAAGTATGGGAGTTACGATTGTCTTAGCGCTACGACTGTCGTAGGTCTATGTTAAAGTATGGGAGTTACGATTGTCTTAGCGCGACAACTGTCGTAGGTCTATGTTAAAGTATGGGAGTTACGATTGTCTTAGCACTACGACTGTGGTAGGTCTGCGTAAAGTATGGGAGTTACGATTGTCTTAGCACTACGACTGTCGTAGGTCTATGTTAAAGTATGGGAGTTACGATTGTCTTAGCACTACGACTGTCGTAGGTCTATGTTAAAGTATGGGAGTTACGATTGTCTTAGCGCTACGACTGTCGTAGGTCTATGTTAAAGTATGGGAGTTACGATTGTCTTAGCGCTACGACTGTCGTAGGTCTATGTTAAAGTATGGGAGTTACGATTGTCTTAGCGCTACGATCTCTTTGTGGACCGGGGCCCTGTAATGGCCCAAGAGTGTATGTGCCGATTGCCGGAAGTGTCTAATGGTAGTGTTCCCTGCAGTCTTTCAGAACAGCTCTACACTATGCATATGCCATGGAGAATGGCAAGGAACTGGTGGACTTGCTGCTGGACTACGGAGCGTCTGAGTTCACCATGGACAAGGTAGCGTGTTACAGGGGTACCACATTGGGAGTCAGGATACACCCTCCTCATGTACATCTTCCCGAACTAGGCTGGAATTTCTGGGCTCATTCATACAGCCACTAGTGGCTATTACAAGTTATGTCCAATTCTATGTCGCTCCTATTGACCAATCAGATTCCACCTCACATATCACTTGCATTTGCTTCAGAGAAGATGGTGGCGCCCGGTCAAGATGATCTGATCAAAAATCAAGATCATTATTGTAAGAAAATGGGTCTTAGCTCACTAAGTGCATCAGATCACTTGAGCACCTTGATTAAAAACATGAAAAGATTTGAAGAATATCTGTCAACGCCCAGTTGACTGTACACATGCTCTGCAAATCTTGCAATGGACTGATATCTGCACGGTAAACATCATGTTGTTTATTAACCGGATGTCGAATCATTATGCGATTTTGATTGGACCATACATAGACTCGTTAGTCCAGCCAATATATAACTCCGCAATTCCAGCCTAGATTGGCAAGGATGGAAACTAGACGTTTAGAAATCAGTTAACACTGTTGCCTCGGGAAGATGCCCCATGTATTGATACATACTGAGATACTTTAGGTACGAACATATCATGATTCTTACATGAGACCATTTTGTGTGAACTAGCATGTGGTCTTGGTAACAAGGTTGTTACTTTCAACCAGTATGTGTTTTAATGTGAAGGATTTGTTAACTTATGCCCACTGTAATAAGGGGAGGTGGAGTAGCCTAGTGGTTAAAGCGTTGGCCCGTCACGTCGAAGACCCGGGTTCGATTCCCCACATGGGTACAATGTGTGAAGCTCATTTTCCAGTGTCCCCTGACGTGATATTGCTGGAATATTGCTAAAAGCGGCGTAAAACCATACTCACTCACACACTCACTCTAATAATATGCTATCAGAAAAGCTACTTTTACTGGGACAGTATTGTGCATCACAATATATCTTTATACATGAAAGACTGTATCACTAGCTCTCTGCAGTGCTTCTAAGACAGCCTGTGGAGTGTTTACAAATGTAAACAAAGGATAAATACACATATGGAATTAGTTTTTAAATGTTTTAGGATATTTTTCTCATTGAAAGTTAAATGTTTCATGATTTTTATGTTTATTATAAATGTGTAGACTCATAAAAAATTAAACAGATGAGGAACACATGCAATTTGTTGAATGGACTGTGTAAGACGTGGTCAGTAGCCGATGTAATAGGTTACAATACGGTTTTATTTCATAGGAAGGACGGTCCCCCTTGGCTTTCAAAGATCGCCGAGGCCAGCATCTCATGGAAGCTTTACTGGGCTACCAGTTACTGCAGGTTAGTGCGCATGTTCTATTTTGGACTTAATTTTTGAAAACCACTTCCTTAAAAAAACACTTGTTATGATCCATGTTGGAATTGGTCTTCAACACATGCTCGTCATAACAGACGACTAACAGGATCAGGTGGTCTGGTTGCTGACTTGGTTGCAAAAAGAAGCGTAAAACTAGACTTACTCTTAACTCAAAAGCAACCCATGCTTGTCGTAAAAGGAGACTATGCTTGTCGTAAGAGGCGACTAAGGGGATCAGGTGGTCAGGCTCACAGACTTGGTTGATGCATGTCATCGTATCCCAACTGCGTAGATCGATGCTCATGATGTCAATCACTGGATTGTCAGGTCCAGACTTCATTATTTACAGACCGCCGTCATATGGCTGGAATGTTGCTGAGTGCGGCGTTAAATAACAAACAAACAAACAAAAATCCACCTTTCATGTACTTGTTGATCCTTATTTAGAAAAATGCTAAGTTGTCAGTGTGAATATCAGTTCTGAATCATCTGGGTGATTTGTGATATAACCTGAGAAGATTATCTTTGTTGGCATTAAACCCAACTCACTTACTCCTGCGACCCGTGAAGATTCCAGGGTAGAATAGGTCTTCAGCAACCCATGCTTGCCGTAAAGGTGACTACGCTTGTCGTAAAAGGCGACTAACGGGGTCAGGTGGTCAGGCTCGCTGACTTGGTTGATGCATGTCATCGATCCCAATTGCGTGGATCGATGAGCATGATATCACTGGATTGTCTGGTCCAGACTCGATTATTTACAGACCGCCGTCATATAGCTGGAATATTGCTGAGTGCGGCGTTAAACAACAAATCAATCAATCAATCGCTTTCTCCTGCAGGATTTTACTACTCCAGAACCAGACCCTTTTGCAGTCTCCATGCCAATCCCCATCATCGGGTACCTCCTCAACTGCACGCACACCCATCACCGCCCCAGCCAGCTCACCCACAAGCTCGCTGCACTTCCAAGTTCCACCACTCCGCGCCGACGCTCACTTCCTGATGCAAAGATCAACAAGGTGATCAGCAAGTCTGCCACCATAGCGTCTCACATCGCCAGTCTGCCCGACACAGTGAAGGCCAAGCTGGCCACGAGGGCTTACAATAAGTGCTCCGCGCTCCCCAGGGAGTACAACCCCTTACCGACGGATGACTTCGACAGGTACGACTTTGAAGAGGAGGGATTCGAGACAGGGGGTGAAAATGATGACTTGCTTCATGAACGAGAAATCAAGAAGTCCTCTTCCTGTGTTGTGCAGTGATAACATGGTGTAGGGTTACTTGGCCAGAGCAATTCCTTTATTTGTTTTACAGAGTTTCTTGGTCAATATGATCACGTGGTAAAAGGCAAAATTATGATATATGTGAAATGTTTCATTGATTTGAAGTTAAAAAGTTTAAGCAAAACCAACTTTAAATTGAGTTTTTATGGAATAAGAAAATGTGTTTAAGAAAATGCATTTTTTATATCAAATGCATCATTTACGTAAAATACTTGTTTTGTAAATGTTAGGCTTGTATCAAAGAAATAACTTTTTTTTAATATTTTGTATTAGGGGTGAAACGATACAGAAGGTTATGATACGATATATATCACGATACACATATTTATGTCATAGCGCATGGAAACTTCTTGACAATAAATATTTCAGAGCAGGTTCAAAAGGAAAAGCACATGTTCGTAATGGCTTTTTTTTAGTAGTGAACTTAAAACGCTAATTACAACATTTTCCTATATCTGACTGATAAAAACGCCAGGGGTCATTAAACGAGTAGTAAGTAATTTATTTCAGCAAGTGTATGTCTTGTATCGATACAGAGAAAAAAGGTATCGTGTATCGTATCAATGCACCAGTGCACCGATGTATCGTTTCACCCATATTTGGTATCCTTGGTGAAAGTACTGATATGCATGATGAGTCACTGTCAGGACTGCGCGGGAATGTATACACTATGTTCTTCTGTCACCCACGCACACATACATCAAAGGTGACGTCGTAGTCATGTGTCTATTTTGCATAACTCCTTCAATGAGTCAGTTTATGATTCACTGTAAAATGGATGGGAGTGTGTTCTGCAATGTGATTGGTTGAAAAACATTGTAAAATGGGGTTAAAAATAAACTTTTCGACAATTGCATGCTCTATAACACCCCCCAATCATAAAACACATACTGTTTATACCCTATTTGAAGGTTACTCTGTGCATGAATTTTGTCTGAACCCTACCGTTAAAGCAATGTTAAGGGCACACAGACACAAGGTTATTGTTCAGAGCACACAGACACAAGGTTATTGTTCAGAGCACACAGACACAAGGTTATTGTTCAGAGCACACAGATACAAGGTTATTGTTCACAGCACACAGACACAAGGTTATTGTTCAGAGCACACAGACACAAGGTTATTGTTCACAGCACACAGATACAAGGTTATTGTTCAGAGCACACAGACACAAGGTTATTGTTCAGAGCACACAGACACAAGGTTATTGTTCAGAGCACACAGATACAAGGTTATTGTTCAGAGCACACAGACAAAAGGTTATTGTTCAGAGCACACAGACACAAGGTTATTGTTCAGAGCACACAGAAAAAAGGTTATTGTTCAGAGCACACAGACGCAAGGTTATTGCACATGTTGCGCACGGATGTATATTTATCACATGCGTGTGTTTCCATGGATGATGGTTGGTTGGTTGGTTTGTTGTTTAACGCCGCGCTCAGCAATATTCCAGCTATATGACAGCGGTCTGTAAATAATCGAGTCTGGACCAGACAATCCAGTGATTAGTATCATGAGCATCAATCCACGCAATTGGGATCGATGACATGCATCAACCAAGTCAGCGAGCTTGACCACCCGATCCCGTTAGTCGCCTTTTACGACAAGCATCGTCACCTTTTACAGCAAGCATGGGTTGCTGAAGACCTATTCTGCCCCGGAATCTTCACGGGTTCCATGGATGATAGAAGAACATAGTGGACACATTCACAAGTATTACCTTTGGCTCTTATTTTCGATGAACTTAACTTTGGCATTGAATATCTATTCATGTTTGAGTTTTGATAATTAAAAATGAAATGGGGGTCATTTACAAGAAAGATTTCTTTTGCTCCTAAAGCTTCTTACATATTCCACAGGAATCGAAAGTTCCGAGTGCAAGTTGAGATCTTATTCCTACTTATGTAGAATTATTCTAAGTACACTGTATTGTCTTTGGATATAAATTGGTCGGTATACACCAACAGGGCTAATATTGTGTGCTATATGTCATTTCAAGATCTCTGATTTCTGTGCATGTACACAATCTTAACAATGTATTCAACAATACACCTAGCTGTGTTTTAATACACCTGCCATCAGATTTATCTGACCGTTATTTTTACACAATGAGTCCCACTATCTGAGGTGCAATACTGTAGATATTGGTCTATGTGTGCGTTATACAAGATATGTCCATATGTAGATAAGACATAAGAGTCTTATGATAAGACGTTAGTTAACACCAGATGTTTGTTTTCCGATGCGCTGTTTCAACACTGTTTGTATATGTGGGATGAGTGTGAATGGTATACATTATTTATTGTATTTACAGACAGATATGATATGTACTAAATGCTTGATGGTTTGATTGGCCCCTTTGTTTTATCACATTGATAGTGGGAGTACCATGTTGAACTTGAACATCTTTGGACAATATTTGACAATCCTAACAAGTGCCCCTACACCTTTTTACCCAAACACAAAGGACACAATGTCATTATATATACTACTCAAAACAAGTTAAGCAACACCACTACTGGATGGCTGTGTGTTGCAATACCCAGTGTTCTTTCACTTCTTTTGAGTGGTATATGTTTTTTTATGAGATTGAGTACTCTTGTCGTGCTGGCTATATCCTAGGGCTTGTCCAACGGATCTATCCTAGGGCTTGTCCAACGGATCTATCCTAGGGCTTGTCCCATGGATCTATCCTAGGGCTTGTCCAACGGATTTATCCTAGGGCTTGTCCAATGGATCTATCCTAGGGCTTGTCCAACAAATCTATCCTAGGGCTTGTCCAACAAATCTATCCTAGGACTTGTCCAACGGATCTATCCTAGGGCTTGTCCCATGGATCTATCCTAGGGCTTGTCCAACGGATTTATCCTAGGGCTTGTCCAATGGATCTATCCTAGGGCTTGTCCAACAGATCTATCCTAGGACTTGTCCAACAGATCTATCCTAGGACTTGTCCAACAGATCTATCCTAGGACTTGTTGCACTGGCTATATCCTAGGGCTTGTTGCACTGGCTATATCCTGGGGCTTGTTACACTGGCTATATCCTAGGGCTTGTTACACTGGCTATATCCTACAGCTTGTTGCACTGGCTATATCCTACGGCTTGTTGCACTGGCTATATCCTATGGCTTGTTGCACTGACCATATCCTACGGCTTGTTACACTGGCTATATCCTATGGCTTGTTGCACTGGCTACATACTAGGGCTTGTTGCACTGGCTATATCCTACAGCTTGTTGCACTGGCTATATCCTACGGCTTGTTGCACTGGCTATATCCTATGGCTTGTTGCACTGACCATATCCTACGGCTTGTTACACTGGCTATATCCTATGGCTTGTTGCACTGGCTACATACTAGGGCTTGTTACACTGGCTATATCCTATGGCTTGTTGCACTGGCTATATCCTATGGCTTGTTGCACTGGCTATATCCTAGGGTTTGTTGCACTGGCTATATCCTGGGATTTGTTACACTGGCCATATCCTAGGGCTGGTTTCACTGGCTATATCCAAGTGTTTGTCGCACTGGCTAAATCCTAGGACTTGTTGCACTGGCTATATCCTGGGGATTGTTGCAGTGGCTCTATCCCAGGGCTTGTTGCATTGGCTATATCCTAGGGCTTGTTGTACTGGCTATATCCTACGGCTTGTTGCACTGGCTATATCCTACGGCTTGTTGTACTGGCTATATCTTATGGCTTGTTGCACTGGCTATATCCTACGGCTTGTTTCACTGGCTATATCCTATGGCTTGTTACACTGGCTATATCCTACGGCTTGTTGCACTGGCTATATCCTGGGGCTTGTTGTACTGGCTATATCCTAGGACTTGTTGCACCGGCTATATCCTAGGGCTTGTTGCACTGGCTATATCTTACGGCTTGTTGCACTGGCTATATCCTAGGCCTTGTTGTACCGGCTATGTCCTAGGGCTTGTTGCACTGGCTTTATCCCAGGGCTTGTTGCACTGGCTCTATCCCAGGGCTTGTTGCACTGGCTATGTCCTAGGGCTTGTTGCACTGGCTTTATCCTAGGCCTTGTTGCACTGGCTTTATCCTGGGGCTTGTTTCACTGGCTAATCCTATGGCTTGTTGCACTGGCTAATCCTATGGCTTGTTGCACTGGCTATATCCTATGGCTTGTTGCACTGGCTATATCCTATGGCTTGTTGCACTGGCTATATCCTAGGACTTGTTGCACTGGCTATATCCTACGGCTTGTTTCACTGGCTATATCCTGGGGCTTGTTGCACTGGCTATATCCTACAGCTTGTTGCACTGGCTATATCCTAGGACTTGTTGCACTGGCTATATCCTACGGCTTGTTGCACTGGCTATATCCTACGGCTTGTTGTACTGGCTACATCCTGGGGCTTGTTGCACTGGCTATATCCTATGGCTTGTTACACTGGCTATATCCTACGGCTTGTTGTACTGGCTATATCCTAGGACTTGTTACACTGGCTATATCCTGGGGCTTGTTGTACTGGCTATATCCTAGGGCTTGTTACACTGGCTATATCCTACGGCTTGTTGTACTGGCTACATCCTGGGGCTTGTTGCACTGGCTATATCCTAGGGCTTGTTGCACTGGCTATATCCTACGGCTTGTTGTACTGGCTATATCCTAGGACTTGTTACACTGGCTATATCCTGGGGCTTGTTGTACTGGCTACATCCTGGGGCTTGTTTCACTGGCTATATCCTATGGCTTGTTACACTGGCTATATCCTACGGCTTGTTGCACTGGCTATATCCTACGGCTTGTTGTACTGGCTATATCCTACGGCTTGTTGCACTGGCTATATCCTACGGCTTGTTGTACTGGCTACATCCTGGGGCTTGTTGCACTGGCTATATCCTACGGCTTGTTACACTGGCTATATCCTACGGCTTGTTACACTGGCTATATCCTGGGGCTTGTTGTACTGGCTTTATCCTAGGACTTGTTGCACTGGCTAAACCTAAAATAATGTAGACAGTTTTAACAAGAGTGTGATGACCTGCTGTGCATGCAGGCTATGCTGGTTCAGGATCAGATATCCCAATTTGACATATATGTGATAAAAAAAACTGTTGTCAGAAGCACTATAGAGACCCTACTGTTCACGTCTGCTGTATAACAGGGAAAGAACAGGTTGGGGAAACACACATCACTGTTCAGTAAATAATACCATAATCTTTTTCTGTCAGTGGCAGACTAAAATGCAATTTCCCAAGTCAGTATTATGAATAAATCCTGTTTTGATAACCATTAATTTTTAAAAGCCAAATTAGGTCGAATGATTTTGAGTAAATATTCATACTTGAACTGCTAGTTATCTTGTCCCAGCCCATTTTCTTTCTGTTTCTGACAACGCTTTACTTGAACTATCCCAATGAAGTCATCAACGCACAATATCAAATGCATTAAAAGGATGACAGTGACCTTTGTATTGCAAATGCATAAGTCCTGTGGGCGCTAGTTATGCAGTGACACTAGGACTTGCCTTGTGTTTGGGATTACGTTCTAATAACATTTGCAAACCCAATCTGTGACATATTATATGAAATAATTGCTTTGAACATAGCTTTAATATTTACTCCAGTTATATGAATGTTTTGCAATATTATTTGCAGTACTTGAGGCATTATGAATGTCTGAAGATCTGTTTTGTTCTCATTGAATTTATTTATACAAGTTGACTTTTCACTTGTTGGGTATATCTGTGGGCTTGTGCAATCATACAGATGGATGTTCTGTCTGTCCTAGTCATGGATGTTGGATCTCTAACAAAGCAATGATCGTGTTAGATTATTTAATTAATTATTTAAATCAAGGTGTGGTTGTGCGTGGCTCTGTTGTGGGTTGTCAATTCGGTGAGGTGAGGTTAATGCGGTTGAACATCGTATTGAGGATTACTGCACATACATAGCTACGAGGACTGCTTGTACTAGTCCGGACTAATGCCAGTTCTGCTGGTAGGGTTGCGACGGGTACTCGAGTACCCGAAAACGGGTCGGGTAGCTTAGGACTTGAGTCCAATTTTCAGGACTTGAGTACCCGTTCAGGGGAGATAACTCTAATCGCCTTTCGTAACTCGTAAGTCACTTCAAAATGGACGACAAAGCGGACAAACGTTCAAATGTTTTAGGTAAGCCATGCAGGCATTTAATAAAAAACATAATACCTTAGAATAGATCAATAGATGTTTGATGACCTTTTATTCGCAAAAGCATTACAAACAAGTGGGACAACATTGAACTACGGGTACTCGAGTCCGGTTCGGGTATTGTCTGCCGGGTACTCGAGTTCAGTTTTCGTACCCAGTCACAACCCTATCTACTGGTGCTAGCACACTAAGTTACCATGCCACAATTTAGCATGCAGCTAATGTCTATCCTAAGTACACCTAGTTCTTGTTACAGTACCAGTGGTGTTCCCCAATGTAAAATATTCTTTCCTGTGTTCATAAAAGTTACGGTAAGAAAGGGATGCCAGTAATATCCACTGAGTCCCTTTGTATAAAAGCATAGATGTTGGAATGGTTAGAACTAAATAAATTGAAGTGTTTGTGTTAGCTAAGATTGTTGATATGGCCACCATGGAGGGTAGTCTCCCTTTGATGTGGATAGTCTCCCTTTGATGTGGACGTAAGCAAGCTCCTTCTCTTGGCGTGACACCTTCGTTACACTCTTGGTAGTATAGAGAGCTCCGCGAGGGGGTGTCACTGTGAGGAGCTTGTGGACGCAAGCTCAAAGTGACACAGACCACCGACATTTTCAGCAAGGGTAAAATCTACGAGAATTGAGATAATGTTGACAGACATCAGTCATCATCAGGACAAGTTCTGGATTGGATTCTATGACCAGCAGATCTTGTAGCAATGTATATATGAGGAACTATTTTGGTAGAGATATATTAATTTATGGAGAATATTTATGTGAAAAATGTTTCTATTCTTTCTGTGTATGTCCACTACCCAGTATTCGGGCTTTTGCCGTGTATATTGTAAACCCATGTACAGGAATGTATGGCTGACTGAACCAGGTCTGAATGAATTCAATCTCCTTAAGCCAGGTCTCCTTAAATATCTGAGAGCCATCGTATTGGAGTTAAAGATCGGAGTAGGAATAAGTTGAGAGTGCACAGTTTCAGTCCAAGGCTCTGTTCCACAAAGCGATCGTAGCGCTACAACTGTCGTAAGTCTATGTTAAAGAATGGGAATTACGATTGTCTTAGGCCTGGGTCAGCTTTGTGGAACAAGGCCCTGGTTCCCGTTCCACAAATCAAACCTGATCAACGATGAAAGTATTAATATTGAAAGTCTTATGAAGTTTGACAGTCGTAGCACTATGAATGCATTATGGAAGGAGTCTAAAGATATTACTTTTAAGATATTTCATTTACCTTTACAGTACTAATATCTGTTAAACAGATTGCTGTGGATATTTTGTTGTTCTCATCATGTCTTCATTTCTATGTAAAATACAGTGATACCTTCTTATCCCTAACTCCGTTGGGGGCACGGGTGGCCCAGTCGTCTAAGGCGCTGCGATTCGCTGTGCAGAGTTGCATCCCTTGGACACGCCAGAAACCTATGACTGTGGGTTCGAATCCCGGTTGCCCTGATTATGCTTCCAGATTTGTCAGCACCATACCCGTGCTCGTGGGTTTCACCGAAGTAGTAAACGTCCGAGACCTGCATCATTTCGGGCTTTCCTCCCACATTAAGCTGACACGCCGTGATATAACTGGAATAATATTAAAAGCGGCTTAAAACCCAACTCACTCACTCACTAACTCTGTTAATTAATTCTTGTACATCATTCAAGATGCTGACAGAATCTTTATCTGTTTGTTTGTTGTTTAACGCAGCACTCAGCAATATTCCAGCTATATGACGACAGTCTGTAAATAATCGAGTCTGGACCAGACAATCCAGTGATTGATATTGTGAGCATCGATCCACACAATTGGGATTCAATGATATGCATCAACCAAGTCAGCGAGCCTGACCACCTGATCCCATTAGTCGCCTCTTACAAAAAGAATGTGTTACGGAAGACCTATCATCACTTTTGTCAAATATCTGCTTGACCTATGGATAAGTGGACATATTGTCCGAAGTGTTTATGAGGTTTCACTGTATTTCAACCATAACATCAGTTATGGCAACAGATTCACAGGTTAGAGGGAATGGTTTGTCTAGAACTACTCTTTACCAAATTTGTTAAACCATGGGTCCATCCCTTACACCAACCAGTCTTCGTTGGCCTCTGGGGGGGGGGCAGGGGGGCACAGGTGGCCCAGCCGTCTAAGGCGTGTGCAGAGTGGCATCCCTGGGGCATGCCAGAAACCTATGATTGTGGGTTCGAATCCCGGTTCGCCTCGATTATGTTTCTAGGTTTGTCAGCACCATACCCGTGCTCATGGGTTTCACCGAAGTGATAAACGTCTAAGCACTTGGTGCTTTCCTCCCACATCAAGCTGACACGCCTTGATATAACTGGAATACTGTTAAACATTGTTAAACCCAACTCACTCACTCACACATTGGCATCTGGTGACCCTCACATTGAATACAGCTGGGAAATGTACATGTATATACCTTGAGTGCTGGGTGTGAAAGCATCAAATATGGTCTTTTGCCTCAAAATGAGGTCTTGACTCTTGCACAAAACCTGCATCAGTAAATGCCTGCATTTTATTTAAGCTTCAGGCAAAAATATATATTCTCACACCTTGCATAAACCAGTTTGCATGAGAACCAATTGGTTTTTTTGAGACTTTTCCTTTGTGAAAATGTTCGGCTAATCAAAGGAATATACATCTGAACTAACAAGTGTTTACATATTTGTACAATAATACATTGATAATTAGTTGTGCTGGTTGTTCTGTTATGAATATATCCATGACAATGAGTAATGACAACAGTTCATGGCAAACTGTAAAACAGCCCTTTATTTATTGGAGACTGCATCTTGATATGTGTGTTACACAGCAAGTGTAACAGAGTAGCTGGTCAGCTCACCAACACTGGATAGTTGCAGCGATCACATAATAGTTCAACGGATCAAGATTAGCGGAATACAGATGGTCATATTTTGAAAAATCACAGTACGGCTTAATTACCATAGCTTTGTCATTTTAGGAATCTTTTGTCGCTATATATGTCAATACTCACAAAGAATATCTGTAATGTCTGCTAATTTGTAGAATAAATTTGACTGCTGTCTCCAAGATGCGAGACAGAGGAGAAGATGGTTGACATATATATCTTTCTAACTTGTGTGGAAAGGCCTTCTGTGTTGTGTGCAAAGATACATTGAGCATTTGTGCCAAGCACACTTTGTGACCAATAAAGTTTTACTTATTAACATGACCTTGTTTTTTGTTTATTTGTGAGACCAGACAAAATAGAACAAACTAGATAAGCGTTAGCAAGTTCTTGCTAAAAAGGAAGCAGCTTCTTTGCCACTATTTGGGCGGTCGGGTAGCCTAGTGGTTAAAGCGTTTGATCGTCACGCCGAAGACCCGGGTTTCGATTCCCGACATGGGTACAATGTGTGAAGCCCATTTCTGGTGTCCCCCGCCGTGATATTGCTGGAATATTGCTAAAAGCGGCGTAAAACCATACTCACTCACTCACTCACTCACTCACTCACTCACTCACTCACTTTGCCGCTATTTCCAGAAAGCCCCAGAAATACCTACATATCACCTTGCATTTCCAGTTTAATTTGGGTTGTTGGGAAGCCTTGTGGAAAAAGCATTCGCTCATCACGCCGAAGGCCTGGGTTCGATTCCCTTCATGGGTACAATGCGTGGAGCACATGAGATTGCTGGAAGAGGCTTAAAACAATACTCACTCACTCACTCACACTATATGGTGGGTTTCACTCGAATCTCATACATTCCTCTACATGTAGTAGACACAAACCCATGAAATAATGACGATAATTTTGTTTGTTTGTTGTTTATCGACACACTTAGCAATCAATATTACAGCTGTTTGATGACGGTCTGTAAATAATTGAGTCGGGACAAGACAATCCAGTGAATGCTGACTGCCATCAAGAGCATTTATCTACGCAATTGGGATACAATGACATGCATCAAACAAGTCAGTGAGCCTGACACCTGATCCCTTTAGTTGCCTCTTAGCACAAGCACAGAAGACCTATTCTATGATGATCCCAACTCCACACAAAGGAGTGAGTGAGTGAGTGAGTTGGGTTTAAAGCCGCTTTAACAATATTCCTGTTATATCGCGGCATGTCAGCTTAATGTGGGAGGAAAGCCCGAAGTGATGCAGGTCTCAGAGGTTTACCACTTCGGTGAAACCCACGAGCACGGGTATGGTGCTGCAGGTCTCAGAGGTTTACCACTTCGGTGAAACCCACGAGCACGGGTATGGTGCTGACAAACCTAGAAACAAAATTGGGGCGAACCGGGATTCGAACCCACAATCATAGGTTTCTGGCGTGCCCAAGGGACGCAACTCTGCACAGCGAATCGCGGCGCCTTAGACGACTGGGCCACCTGTGCCCCTCCACACAAAGGAATACATGTGAAGCCCCCTTCACCTTCCTGTGTCCAGACAAACAACCAACACTGTTTCACAAATGACTCAGTTTATATAGACAATAACAGTACATGAATGAGAAGTTGGTGAATCCTTCCTACAGAGAGGGGAAATGTTGTTCCCTCGGTAACGTGACAAGGAGAGTTGTCTCCCCTACATGATGAAAAGTCAATGTGTCCTAATGGGCCTATTTCTTCTCTGCTTGATATTTGAAGTGCAGTTCCTTGACATCTGTCTGAGATACCTTGATCCAGCCTGTCTCCTTCATGTGGTACACTGAAGGTAACAAACATACATGCAGTTTGACAACAGAACATGCTCTGTAAGTACCGTATTTCCTTGATTAAATGTCAGGAATCAAATAAATGCTCAGGCCTCAATTAATAGCTGGGTCTTGATTAAACACTGGGTTGTGATCATGCACAGAATTCTTCCCATTATTACCTTTGCGATTAAACGCCAGGTGTAAAGAGTGCCTGAAAGAAATGTATGCCCGGTCATCTAATCGAGGACATACGGTACTAAAAATCATGATCAAAAAAGTTATTTTGACATGTAATTTCTGAACATGCCGGAAAAAACAAACATCTTAGTTACCAATTACTAATGACTGATTCCTAGTAATCAATGGCTGATGGGTTGAAACAAACCATTTGTCAATGACTAATGAAAACATATTTCCCATATACCTGAAACAGACATTACTGCTGCAGATTAATATTTGGGAGGGGAGTCAGTAACATTCAAGTCATATTGCGACTGCCTGTCGATTATAAAGTTAGAGCAAGTCAAATCAGTGGTCAATAGCAATCCATACATTTTCACTGCATATCAAAATTTAAGGACACTTCAAGGCAAGTGAATCTTATTTAACGCTGCAGTCAAATTGTCCAGGAATATCACATCTGTCCGTAAATAATCAAGTCTGAAGCAGACAAACAAGTGACTGAAAACGAAAAATGATCTATGTTGTTCGGTACGATGACACAATGAATTAATTGCTTCTTACGACCAAAAACAGAGTGCTCAGGAACTGATCTAATCACGGGATGGACTTCAAAATGCAGCATTGAATTTTTATGAGACACTTCAAAATTGGTCATCAAATTTTAATGCCTTGCCTCTGCAAACACTGCATATTGAGAGTTAGTGAGTATAGGTATACACCACTTTTAGCAATACTCACGCAATATCGCGGCAGGGGACACCACACTGTACCCATGTTGGGACCGAACCCGGGTCTTCAACGTGACAAGTGAACTAGAGCTGGGACGGATAACTCGGGTACTCGGGGCGGATGGGTACTGAGTAGGACCCGTGTATCCCCAGGACTACCCGGTCCCGTGGTTAGTCATGTGATATATTGTTTAATGACAAAAATTATCTAAAACTCAATGGTTACACTATAAGTCACTAATGTTGTCATTTCTTTCTGACAATGCACCCAGTCCTTCTGACTTTCATATGTCTGAATAAAGATAAAAACTTCATGCAGTAAACATCAGTGTATGCATGAAAAGATTTTTCTACACATTTATCTAAATACATTTTGCCAGGGCTACGCTCAAACTTTTCCCAATCGGACAGTTTGTACCTATCTCTTGATATCTACAGAAGATACCAGGGTAGGATCGGGTAATAGGGTGGTGGGTACCCGGGTAATAAATTTGGACTCGTCCCAGCCCTTGAGTGAACACTTTAACCACTGGGCTACCCCACCAGGACCTGCATGTTGAGAATATGTCCCTCTAGTTGTACTTACGATTGACCACACCACCACTGTAGGCATCCCTGTGTGTAGCGTGGTAGATGGACCTCATCCCCAGGTCATAGGCCGCCTCCACTGACATGTCGTTGCTGTGACCACTGTCCAGCACACCATATGCATACACTGACCCAGACCCCACGGAGAACATGTCCCCGGTCAGCCGTTCTCCGTCACTGTCCACGTAGTACAGACCAGGCCCCTGGACAACAATCAATATTATATTTTTGTTTGATGGTTAAAGCTGCACTCAGCAATATTCCAGCTGTATGACGTGGACTGTGAATAATCGAGTCACCAGAGAATTCAGTGATTGATACCATGAACATCGATCCACGCAATTGGAATATGATGAATTTGCAATCAACCAAGTCACTGAGCCTTACCACCCCATCCAATATCTGTCGCTATACGATATATATATCGATACAAAATTAATTCACTTCAGAAATGTTTATATTTATCAAGATTACCAAGTTTAAGATGAACATTGGGAAGGCAGAAAATTTAATTTTAAACATTTAATGGATGAGTCTAGATCCATTTTATCTATTCACAGACAGAATAATTAATTTTATTATTATTTAAAATATGTATCATGATACATTTGAGTCGATATATCAATACTAAAATGTCCAATCAATGACACCCCTACCATTCCCTGCAGTTGTATAGCCATTGCATGCATCCAATTACTCCGATTTACATGATCATGATTAAGCTCATAAAATCCTGCATGCATTGTGATTGACTCCTGCAATACCAATTCATGTAGTTCTGGTTCTTGCTACTTCTCCAGCCTTGGGAATTTCCTGGCTGAAGCACTTAGTGTCACTTGTGTTCATGTTGTACCATGACTACTGACTGATACACATCGGGACCAACCTTTGAAATTCATTTTTCAAGACTAGTCCAGAGAAATAGTTGAAAACTTATCTCACTAGCTTTTAGAGTTTGTCCCTAGTCTTGCTGGAGACAAAAATGTTTACAATGTTTGTAGCAAAATTAAACTGGTTCAGAGTTCGATTCATAAAATGCTACAATTTTATGAGGACTACCATCATTGGATTTTTACTTCTCTTCAGCACCATTTAGTAGTCTCTGGCTAGCGGAGTAGCAAGGACTACGAAGGCTGGCTACGCCTATCCAAATTGTAGCATTGACAGAGATATTTCAAAATACCACCAGACATGTATCCAACACTCCTAGTCACTGATCATTTGTCAACTCACCCTCTTGTCCCAGCCCACAATCATGGTTCCCTGAAATATGAGAGCATTTCATTTGAACATTTATTGCATAAAATGAGAAGAATCGGCAAGAGTGATACACATGACCTGTCATATTACACAAAATTACAGAAAGACATTACAGTGGACAAGTAACACATTGGCACTAGTCCTATAGTCCTTGACTAGCTGCCCAATAGTTAAGGTATCATAAGGACAAGTAGAAATGTTACAATTTTAAGGGTTTTGCTAAATGTTTAGCATTATCATCTTTACTCGTTTGTTTCTTAACACAGCACTCAGCAATGTTCTAGCTATATGATGGCAGTCTGTCAATAATCGAATATGGACCAGACAATCCAGTGATTGACATCATGAGCATCAATCCAAGCAATTGGGATACGATGACATGTATCAACCCAGTGGGCAAGCCTGACCACTCGATCCTGTCAGTCACCTCGTATGACAAACATAGTTGCCTTTTTACCACAAGCATGGGTTGCTGAAGACCTATTCTACCCCATCTTCATGGGTCTGTTACATTTTGAAATTATCCTGAGTTACTCAAGCATATAGAAACATTAGAATACCAGAATATATTCTCTATTTAATTCTTAACCTGGATTACATTATGCATAGTGTTGCTTTCAGGTCGAAAGTGGAAAGAGGACTCAGAGTCAGAAGATTGTATTGTTGATATAAATACAGTTGTTGAACCAGTAGTATCCCAATGACCGCTCCCAGGAGTTACCTCCCATGCCCCTCTGCAATCATTGAGTTTCTTGAGCCCACCTGAAGTATGAGTGAGAAGGAAATACCCAAGTCCAAAGGAGGGAGGGCACTGAGACATGTAATGCAGGCTGAGTATAAAATAGAGAATATATGATAGAAGCAGATAGGTTAGGTCCAGTAGGGACTCCTAACAGTACTGTGCACTGGCATAGCGATGGTGGGTCAGACAGAGCACAAGATCCTGCCATCTGTCTTGGGAGAAACGTAGGAAACCAAGAGTGCTGTTGAAGATGTCCCCCGATGAAAGTCAGACTGTGGGTCGGTATGAGTTCTGACTTTTGCTCGAAGACAATCCAGCACAGCAGGCTGAGGAGTCAGCAAGTGAAAAGCCAGCTGCAGCAGGAGTAAGGGGGCCAGCTGATCATTCATCAGGCAGTCAAGGGAGTAGGTGGCAAACCTGGTCCCTTGGTATGTAGATAGCTGACGATTGGCTTGGTAATGTGTGTGATTAACCACGGGGCCGTGGAAAGTCCAAACGGGAGCACCCTACACTGATGGTGACCGTGAAAGACGAAGTACAGAACCTTCCTGTCGTGGGGATGTATCGCGATAGGGATGTCAGAGGTCTGCAGATCGAGGTTGATGTTAAATAAGCTGAGTCTACTGTGTCTATGGCTTGCTTCTCCAAGAGCGTAGCTCTGTGAGCAGCGAAAGGATGACCGTACTCCGGGTTGCGTTCTCCACTCCTCGGTGGAGAGCGGTATTTCTCTCAATTGGAGCAAGCGAACATAGAGCTGTCTCACACTGCTCGACTAGCTGGAGATCGGTGATCATGTAGGTACTGATTGAAGTCTGGGTCCCACAATGATGCAGCCAGAAGACCCTGGCGCCTCATGAGGTCGACTAATGTGGTAATGTGGATAAGGGTCTCAAGGGAATCAAGTAGGTTTGCCTGTCAACTGTCAAGTAAGCACAGATTGTAACTGCAACAACTGGAGTTCCCTGGGTTGGTTGAGGTTTAAATCCATAGATGAGTGAGACGGTGTAAGAGCAGAGATGTAGTAAAAGCTCTCCGACCTTCACATTGATGGATGATAACTGGGATAACACAAATAGAGGCAAGGGGTATGAAATCTAGGCCTCAAACCAAAGGTGGGAAAACAAATTTGCAAAAAAAAGTGTACAGCTGAACACATGGCTGGAAAATCCCAATACACAGAATAAATATGTAGTATAATTGTGAAATATACTGGTAAAGCACCAAGATGAAACGCAAATAAGAAAGGATAAGGGTATAGTTAAACAATCTTTCTGAGCTCTGTGATCAAGATGTTCTCACCACGGCAAAAGAAACAACAATGACTACAGAGGGGCATGGGTGGTCATTGGGATACTACTGGTTCAACAACTTCATATATATCAAGATTTCAATCCTCTGAGTCTTCTTTCCATGGATACTTTCGACCTGAAAGCAACAGTATGCATAATGTAACGCAGGCTAAGTAAACATTTGGTATGTATGTCTGGTAATGCCATCCACTGACCATGGACAAGCCCATTCCCTTGTAGTTGTACACAATGTTGGCCAGGAGCTTGGAGGCGGCTGCAACAGAGATACGCTCCTTGTTCCGCAGCTCGTAGATTCTGGAAGAACACAACAGCATACTGTAGGAAAACCACTCTTCTATATGCAGTCTAACTACTGTTTAACTTTGTTTCTTTTGTTTGTTTGTTTGTTTGTCGTTTAACGCTGCATTCAGCAATATTCCAGCTATTTGACAGCGGGCCGTAACCAATCTAGTCTGGACCAGACAATCCAGTGATTGAGCATCGAGCATCAATCTACGCAAATGGGATATGATGATTTGCATCAACCAAGTCAGCAAGCCTGACCACCCGATCCTGTTAGTAGCCTCTATGACAAGCATGGGTTGCTGAAGATCTCTTCTAACCCAGATCTTCACGGGAGACTGTGTAACTATTGGCACCAGCCTGCTAGCCAGAGTCAATTTGTCCATTGTTAAGGTATCCTGAGGGTTTGTAGTATTTCAGGCTTTTTAGCATGTTTGGGAGACGTTCACATGGACACATGGTACCTTCTATCACTATTCAAGCTAACAAGTGTTTCAGGCTCATTCTTACTTCAGTCGACATGGTAGACTACATCATGTGTACATGAATCTAACAGATGCTAACATGCAAAATGTGACATGTCAAGTAATTATGATGGTTGCAGGTGTTACTTTAGGTAACAAATAGAAATATTATTGAAAAATATATAAAACTTGCCAATAAACATGGTAATAACAACAATAAGAATAATATGGCCATTTATTTAAAGCTACACTTCCACACCAGATAGGGGCATGCTCAAAACCCACACAAGTTGCAGGACAGATGATCATGGTTTGCTCTAAATGCGCGTATCGACCAGAACTGCAGAGTCAATGGGAATTGGGCTAGAAGAGATTTGTTTTAAGCCTAAACTTGAGGGATTGAAGTGTTTGCACTGATTTCAGTGTGAAAGGGAATAAGTTCCGCAAAGAAGCGACAGCAATGCTGTATGATCTGGAGTCTTTGGTTTTGGATCCTCCAGCAGGAATTATTGTTGATTTGACAAAGCGCTATTGCTGGGACACACTGGCTTGTGAAATTCTTGAGATATGAGGGAGCAGTTCCATGATAGTGAGTAAGTATGGTTTTAAGCCGCTTTTAGCAATATTCCAGCAATATCACGGCGGGGGACACCAGAAATGGGCTTCACACATCGTACCCATGTCGGGAATCGAACTCGCGTCTTCCGTGTGACGAGCGAACGCTTTAACCACTAGGCTACCCGACCGCCCCCAGTTCCATGATAAATATTGTGCAACATAATGTGGCATACTGCAATGACTAGTACAATGTGTTGTTCCACTGCTGACCTGCATTGTCTGGCCAGGACCCTCTCCCAGTAGGAGCAGTCAGCGGCACCTCCCGCCATGGTGCCCAGCAGGTAGGGGTTGATCTCAATCACCTTCTTAACTGTCTGTGAGGCTGAAGCAGAAAATACACAAGTCCAACATCCCATCACAGAAACAGCAGTGTCAGGATTAACATATGTAAGTCTGCATAACCTACAGCATGATCAAGTAGAGATATCTGAAGGCACTATTTCTATATGGATTCTTGTAAGTTATGAAGCTGGTTTTCGTGATCAAAATATAAATTTGGGATTTACCTGGGTCTATTTTCGAGCCCAGAGAACTTTTTTGGTCATGAACCTTTACGTCCCAACCTGGTGACGTGCATCATGCTTCTGATGCTTGCTTTCCAAGACTTTTACTGATGTTGCATCATTGCACATGCTAAGAAGCTCTAAGCCTATTTATAGATAGAGATTTCAAAGTAAGTTTGAAGAAAATCAACTACAAACAGACTGAGGTTTGAGTGTAATATTCTTTACCAGAATAGAAATGTCAGTCTTTGATAACTGCAATCTACATTTTTGGTAACATAACGATTCAAACAGCCATACAGCCATTTTGCATCACATAGAACTAACAATGTAAACTATTTGCATCCGTTCTCAATTTGTAGGCATATTGGTATCGTGGGTACACAACCATACATGGTGTAGGATGCAATATGTTGTGTCTGGTAAAACCTGATAAATTATCAAACACATCCACAACATGAACAAAAAAGATCCTTTAATTTGATGCAGTGCTTAGAAAACCATCACTCAGCTGAAAGTACAAACTTAACCACCTGCTTAATATACTTAAGTGAGTTTTGGCGAACACATACTGCTGGCAATATGTTCAGTGATGCTCTCCTGACAACTGTAGAGAAAGGTTTACAACACATCCCTGCTCACCTATGAAAGGTCCTGCAGTTGCCCTAGAGTCAACAGCCACAATGACACCTTGGTTGAATTTGAAAGCCAGGGTGGTTGTTCCATGATTAAAGTGAATCTTGACGTCACTTTCACCATCAGCCATTTGCTTTACAGTGTCTGTTGGCTGCAAAATACAAGAAGCATGTGAGTGAGTCATTCATAATGCCCTTAACGCAATTCAACAACTACAACTCACTTCAGTCCTGAACAAAGTCCTATGCAACTTTGACATGCTTGCATTTGCCCACTATCCTAAATCACCTTGTCTTATCTTAAACATGTTAAACAGTCAGGGTGGCCTCTTGCCTATGCGGCAGTTCAATTCCCATAACTCTGTGAAGAAATTCAATTTGGTCTGTTTTTGCATTTTTTTCCCATTTTGTTATAAAAAAGTATTAACTTGCATGAAGAAAGACACAAATAGTAACATACATTCATCATGTTCATTATGATTGTATTAATGTACTTTTGAAAAATATTTAAGTCATCTTGACTTAGAAAGGGAAAATGTTTTAAAAAATCATGCAAAACAGTAGGGTAATTTCAACTGGCAAATGCAAACTTCATATGCTGAATTTTGTTATAAAGGTATCCCAAGGGCTAGCAGAATTTGTCAGGGTTTTTGTAAGTGTCCATATGTTACCACTACAGTAGCTATAGTATCTATTAGTAAGGTTATAACCTGTGGATCATTTTACTTTATTTGAAAATATTAAATGGATGGTCGCTCGAAACTAAGGAGTGAAAATGGAATAGATTTAATTTGACATACCTGGTATATGAGCAGGACTCATTGCATATCTATATGGTTATAATTCAGTGATTAATATCATACGGCATGTGCTATTTTAGGGTAACATCCTTCATATTCTTAATATTCTAAATAATCTTTTTTCTTTGCATACAACCATGTTGTTGTTCAATCCATTGCAAAATGCATCACATGCATGTTTAGAAAACAATGCATTGTATATTTAAATTATTGTTAGATTCAAATTTTACATAAGTATTCATGGAATTGCCAACAGATTTCTGGATTTCACTCTGGCAAGTGTGGGTTCGAATCCCGGACGGGACTCAACTCCAAAAAGTATGAGAATCTGTACTTTACTCAGAAAGTGTTATCCGGGAGTAGTGCACTTTACCGGGCGCACCTTTTCAGATCCAATTAGCGCTGTGGGGGCTCGAAAGCACTCACCGGCTCTGCTAATTAATGCGTTAATTAGCCAACACTCTACCACTGGACCACAGGCGCTATCACATGTAATCAGTGCTCGTTTAACGGGTCATTAGAGTCCCCATTGACATGCATGCGTAATTCAGTAAACAATGAATTGCGCATGTGTGTGACGTCACGGTCCGCTCTCCCATTCATCTTTTCTTGAAACCACACCCGCAATTGTTAATGTCAACATGACCAACCAATGGGATTAACTGGATTAACGCTTGAAAAGGTAAGAATTTATGGCTAACCCTTGCCCAAAGCAAGCTACCCCTAATGACCGAAAAGGGGTTTGGGATCGTAAAGACGTGTAAGTTTCCCCAAGACCGAAAACAGGTGTTGGATCGTAAAGATGTGTAAGTTTCCCGCCCTAAGACCGAAAAAAGGGTGTTTGATCATAAAGACGTGTAAGTTTCCCTAAGACCGAGAACGGGTGTTTGATCGTAAAGATGTGTAAGTTTCCCTAAGACCGAGAATGGGTGTTTGATTGTAAAGATGTGTAAGTTTCCCTAAGACCGAAAACGGGTGTTGGGTCGTGAAGCGAGAGTCACCAGAGCGTGAGGCACGGTAACGGTATAACGAGACAGCGTTGGCACTATAGCGCGGTAATTGAGCGGATGGTAGAGCTCGGGCTGCGCCCAGTAAACTGCATTGTTGTTATCCCAAATATAAAATTTTTTAGATTCAGTGTTTATGTCTTTCATTTTATGTCCCAACATGCCCAATGCATGACTCGAATGTGCTAAATTATCTCCTGGGAAATGACTTCAAATCAGTGGCAGTCCAGCATATTGACTGTAGTTTACGGAATTCATATAACAATGCATCGCATTTGGTAAACAGTAAATCAGTTGTTTACCTATCCTTTGAGGCTACACCGTGTACACTGGCCACTTTTTTCTCCAGACAAAGTTCGCCACTATCACGGGCATGACGAGTCACATTTTGGATATATATACAGCACACGCGTGACAAAGCAGTATGGAAAGTGGTCAGGAAATTTGATTGTGAAACTTACATTGGCAGCACATGGTACCATAAAATTCTGGGATGTGAATAGGGCATCTTCCACCATAGAAGATGGTCCGTACCCAGGGCTATCATTGAGAAAAGCCGAAGATTTTATCGGACGGTATCCACAAACATCTGCAAGCGCCATGTTGGATTGATATGGCAAGGCCGCATGGAATGGAGAACATGATTAATGAATATTTGTAAATCCTTGTAAAAAATAAAATAATAATATTTTTAGGGAAAAGATTGTGCAAGAATTATAATCACATAATAAACGTATAGATATATTTTTCGCAAACATCAATTGGAGGTTTATACAAAAGTGAACCTATACATGGAAACGGATTTCTCTAGTTTTGAAATGCAAGCAATGCACCTCGGAAGAATTATTGATCGAACGTGAGGGCTCTTTTAGAAATAGGATACAGGAACATTCACGCATCCAGATTCAAATCTAGAACAGAAACAATTGTGTTGCCTAATTTCATAAAATGAATATCAATAATCAACTACATAGAAGGTTTTTCTTACAATCAAGGCACACCCCTAATTCAGTAAATTAATGTCACTGGCGATGATTACTTCAAAAACGAACCCCAAACGAAAAATTACCTTTCGTAAAAAAGAATCCGGACCTAATTAACTCCAAAAGGATTTGAAGAAAGCCTTGCAGATGTTATCATATGCGACAACTGAAAAGTGGCGACCATTATTGGTGAGCCCTCTCCCCGTTAATTAACCACTGGGCATGATGTTTGTTTGATGTTTAACGCCGCACTCAGCAGTATTCCAGCTATATGTCGGCGGTCTGTAAATAATCGAGTCTGAACCAGATAATCCAGTGATTGACATCATGAGCATTGATTCACGCAATTGGGAAACGATGGCATGCATCAACCAAGTCAGCGAGCTTGACCCCCCGATCCCGTTATAGTCGCCTCTTACGACAAGCATAGTCGCCTTTTACGGCAAGCATGGGTTGCTGAAGACCTATTCTACCCCGGAATCTTCACGGTTCACTGGGCATAATGACAAGTTCATTTCAATACAAATCTATTATACGGAAGCTTATCCTTTTCCTCTCTATTTATCCTATATTCAGGCAGGCAGACAGACAGACAGACAAACATATGGCAAGGTCGCGTGGAAATGGAAAACATGATTGATTGTGATTATTGTCTGCTGTGTTTATGTGTATTGGTAATCTAGCGTATTAACGTCTGAAGTTTAATTGACACCGCAGAAATGCTGTCAGTTGCTATCTGGTGAACAGCGACCTTTATAATCTGACGTGACACGTTCAGCTGTAGCGAGGAGTACAATCTGATTTTAATGAGATTGTGACCTTTATATATATATTTACATATATGATAGCGATAAATGAAGAACCCGGTCTGATATAATCATTAACTGAATATTGAGACTACTAAATTTCACGATTACAGTATATTGACTACAAGTTAATTTGTTGCCTGCATTGTTAGCCTTGTGTGGCAGATCGGGCAGAAATGTTCGTTAAAACATGTGTATGTTATAGTTGCTGGTTCATGTTGTAGTAACATGTTACATTATACTAGCCGGTAAGCTATAGTAAGTAAACATGTTTATATTATAGCAACAGCTGTATGTTACACCTCCGCTGTGTCGGGATAAATATCGGATTATGGTGTGAGTAAAACAATTTCCGGTTGTCCCGTTACGTGTTTTCGGTGTCAAACGCACATGTGCTTGTGAGGGTCATGTTTTCACGTTTTTTCTTGACTGTCTGGGCAGTGAGCATGCACAACATAACATCCATTTAAACAGTGAACATGTCTGGGGCAGTTTGTAATCTGTCTCTCGCTTCACTGGGATAAACATTTCAGATGAAAAAACCCTTGGGAAGTACCGTCATACGATCTCGGCCAACTGTTAGACACTCCAGAATTTTCTTTTGTTCATTTTTCAGATTTTGAATGGAGATCTTTGTCAAAATATTTTCAAAGCGTAGTTTGGTGTAATATTCGCCAGTTTAAAACTAATGCCGCATAGCTCGAGAAAGCTGCTTTCTGACTGGCTAATATCGACTTCTTGTTTGTCATTTCTTTCGTCCGAAAGGTCGTTCTGTCTTGACCTGTAATGGGATGTCCCCAGGTCTGTGTTTAGCGCTAACGAGAACTGAGATCTGATTTTAATGAGATTGCATTTGATTTACATCGTTAACCACTTTATCTTTTAAATACAAAATATCTGTTTTATTTCAGTGACGGTCATGAAGATTTCCCTATTCACACTGAGACAATGTCTACCGGTCTTCCACACGTCTCACTGCTTCACGGTGCATAAGACCATCAAGTAGGGTCACAAATAAGAAGAAATGTGCTCACAATTTGTGAAGCAAGGGAGTCGACCACCCTGGAAAATGTTCAAGTCTGAGTAGGATTTGTTTCGTGGCCCTATTACGCAAACTTTACACTATTTTTGCAATGGGAACACAACAGGTTTCTTATTTACTTTTATTGCTATTTTAATATATTGAAATGTACAATTCTTTGTTGTCCTCTGTGTTCCACAGATTGTTGAATCCTTTCGGTGTATGTGGGATGAATCACGAGATATATACATAGATAGATATATCTAATACACATTGTTTAATGTACATATATACTTATACATTTTTAAAAAATGAATTTTAAACACATCACACACAAGGATAACATTGAATAAGTTCATGTAAAAAGCCTATACTATTACGATTTCACCACACGATCGAGAAGTTTCTGTCCTACAATCTGAAGTTTGTGAGCGAGGTTAACCGCTGGGATTTCCTGTACTCTACGCATTGCGCTTTATAGTCCTACTTTTCAAATGTTTGACTTTTATGCGGAACTATAATATGTAAGGGAGATCACTCTGAATCATTTAACTTCGGGAATAATGGATCTCATCATCCCAGTGTTTACATTCATTGCATCGTTGCTCTTTGTTATTCTTTTCATAGGTCTAGGTAATGTTTAGCTTCTGATATCCTCATCTTCGTGTTGTAGAACCCTGCTAGATAATGTTGCACCAGCCAAAATTGTTTTGACTAAGAAAAAAGTGTCGAAGAAAATATGTTCATTTTTGACATTATCACGCCTTTTGCAAAATATTACATAAAAATATAAACCTTTTTTACCAACACTCAGAATCGCCCAAAAATAATCTCAGATGCATGTATGTATCTGGTGCTGTTCAAATTGCGGAAATAAACAATTTACAGTTCTGGTGCAATTATTATTGCAAAAAAATTATTTTATTTGTTTAGTTTTATTCAACATGTGCCTGAACTAGTTAAACGATCAGTTTATCAACAGCGATATCAGTCCCTATGGATATCATTTTATCATTCTGTTTTCGTTAAAGAGTCTTTTTGCATGGCTATGATTCAACTGGAAACTCTCAAACTCTAAGACTAAAACTCCCCCCCCAAACTGGCTGTTTTTCTTATCATTACGATCAACTTTCTGAAAGCCACTATTTGCTATTTGTGTTGTATATTTATTTTCATGTTGTTTTTTCTCAGGATGGTACATTGTATGGAAGCTGTTCCTTAGCAAGTTCAAGTTTGTACGGGAATTGCTAGGACAGAATGGCTCAGAATCAGCTGATGATCAAACTGCTCAACGACAACGGGTGAAAAAGAGGCGGGATTAGGAAACCTGGAGTGGATTTAAAATCCTTAATCAAAACAGCTGTTCCATCATACCAGTGAATGTCACACCATTAAGCAATGTTAATACCCTTTTGTAAAAAACACAGTCATTACCTAACCAATAATGTTGTGATGAATCCATGGACGGGCTGTGTATATTATCTTGATTGAGTGATGGTGACTGGAGACACTGACAATTATATCATGTGATTGACAGCAATGAACAAGAGAAGCATTTCTAACTCAGGCATGACTCTTAACTGTATATGATATTATTTATGTATTATTTCACATTTTCACATTACATCATATAAACCTTGACAAGAATGCTGACTGAAGAATGCTTCATGACACAGAATTAATTTGTGATGAATTTTATCATGATTATGGCAAGATGACATTACAAATGGATTGATACTGAAGATCAACATGACTGAAGATCAACATATGTGAAGACTGAAAAATTTTAACTGTTGACTTTTACAACAGCTGGTACCGAAAGACTGGACTTGTATTTCTTCTAGCCCAAGGGATTGGATTAGAAGAAATAAGATGCAGCCAAATGGGATACCAGAGTGGGAATTGACTAGCCAGTGCTGTATACCTTACTTATGAGTATCTGTGCAAGATCCATGGCAAGTCACAGATCTGTGACAACTGGCCTATTTCTGTCAGTTGTAGAGCCAGCTGTGGGATGTTTACAACTATGAGGATGAATGTGGAAGTTAAATAATTTTGCACGGATATCACGACCATAACTCTAAGTTTGGCAAAGGGTTCCAATGATTGCAAGGAAACAAGAAGAAAGCATAGGAATATAACACGCAGCTTTCAAATGACCTAACAATAACATCAGTATGATTTCAAAACTGGGAATGATGTTGTATGTTTGTGACATCAATCAGGGTTTTACCATCCTAAACTCAAAAAAACTGAACATGCTTAATAGATACACATTATTAACACTGTGACTCCTGGGGGATGCAAAACAGTTTGGTTATTTTAATTATTTCTAATCCAAATTGCAGATTGGATGTCACATTTAACTGACATTTCTATTCCAGTAGGACATACATTCAAAGTGTGAGTGTCTGCATGGTCAGTGGTTGATTTTCTGTTCTGAGACTTCAGAGTATGTGTAGTGATATGACCATCAATGTTTTGGAGATCAAATGAAACGAGCCATTTTTCACCAGCCATGGCACCCCATTATTCATGCCTTTGATCCCCCAAATTAAGACCGATAGTCCCCTGGACTCAAAATAGATAGACCCAGCAAATCTCTGCATTAATATAGGTCAAATGAGGTTCAGGGTCACTCAGTTCTTTCATGGCATTATGCTCCTCAACTTGTTTTGAGTAGTATATACAAGTAAGATCGTCAGGGACACTACATCCAAGTCCTACGTGTATAGTCTTTATGTGTTGTTACTTTCTGTAGAATATACAGAGCCCTTCTGTAGAATATGCAGAGCTCTCGCTCACAAGTTTTCTTCCTTAGGGGTAGAGGGTACCTTGGTGAACCGTGATGCTCCACCTTGAGGCTGGTGACTTCCATACATCATTACTATCATCTTGCTCAGAGTTCATGTGCATGTATATTCCGTATTCGACGTAATAAGCGCCCGGGGCTCACTCAAAATTAGAAATAGGGGGTTCTTATTAGAATGTTATTTTGGTGAAAAATACAGAGTTGAAAGAAAAATTTCGTGGTTTATGCTGACAGCCTGAAATGTTTATGTACGACAGATATATTTTTCCAGAATTAAATGCCCATACTTAAGGGTGCATATAACACACGAGTGCGTATTAAACGCGAATAAATAAGTCTTGTGTAAATTGCTCAATCGGAAGGGGTGCTAATTGGGATTATTCACTAGCCAATATCTTAGAAAATGGCGCCGTGGTGGCTTATTGGAGCGGGGCGCTTATTACATCGAATACGGTATGTGTATATTCTGCAGAGCGTGATTTTATGACAAATATTTTATCTCTCTTACTAATATAGGAAATAAAAAAGTTAACTGTCATTACTGGGCCAGGGTAGGTGATGATGCTATTTTTTATTCTTGTTGTTAAGTGCCAGTTGTCAGATTTTAAAAATATGTTTCTGAGTGAGACTCGACAATTGCAAGTTTGTGACCAAGGTTCCGATCCACATTGCATCTGTTGCGTTACGACCTATTGTAACTATATAGTTTATCATTGGCTTACAGATGTCGTAGGGCTACGAAAGCTTTGTAGATTGGGGTCATGAACAATATTATGCTGATACTCGTGGTTCCCTCTGCTATGCTGAAACAAAGACATTGTTGCAATACAGGTGTGTGGTTGATGTATATATATATGCATAATAGCATTCAAATCTCAACTATCCTATCTTACCTCCTTTAATGTCAAGTGCTGGGAAACACATCGTAAATAATCTTTATTTCTCATAACTATTCATTGACTGTGTAATTCCCCAGGAAATGTGGCAGCCCAGAGGTTAAAGTGTTAGTTCATCGCATCCATGGACCAGGTTTGATTCTCCATATGGGTACAATGTGTAAAGCTTCTTGGTGTCCCCAACCATGATATTGCCGAAATATTGCCAAACATATTTAAAGTGCCAAAAAACAAACAGCAGTCAGTAGATCAGTCCTCTTTGTGTTCTAGGTCAATATGCCAAGACACAGAAAAATATGAAATAATATTTTAGGTTATTTGCCTGAGTAAACTCTTGAATTAGAAAACGTTCAACAATAAACAAATAAAAGAATGCTAAAAATGGCATATTTTCAATGAGCCAAAGCAATATTATTATTTTTTAACCACAAACCAAGAAAATATCTTGATCTAGCTCATCAAGTTATGTAGTTTTTTATACAATTAGTTTGTGTCTTCCTTGGACATGTTAGTCAGTTGTGTGGGTAATAGTTTCCTAGAATGCAAATGTGAGCTATGTAACGGATGTTGTTAGCTTTGTGTTTCACAGCACATGGAACCACATATAATCATGTTCATTATTTTGACACTGTTAATTAATCACATTAAAAAACATTCATTTTTTTAAAGATATTGTTGCTGTTTTATATTTCCCGCCAGTTCACAGTTTCAATCATAACCCATTTTCATTAAGCCAACCTTTTCTAAGGAGTGTGGTGGTCAGTACATTCACTTGTCGCACCAAAGCTCCAGGTTCCATTCCTCACATGGGTACAACAGTGTGAAGACCCTTTCTGGAGTTCCCTGTTTACATATTGCTGGAACCCATGCTTGCCGTAACAGGCGACTATGCTTGTCGTAACAGGCGACTATGCTTGTCGTAAGAGGCGACTATGTTTCTCATAAGAGGCGACTATGCTTGTCGTAAGAGGCGACTAATGGGATTGGTCGGTCAGGCTCGCTGACTTGGTTGATGCATGTCATCGTATCCCAATTGCGTGGGTCGATGCTCATGATGTCAATCACTGGATTGTCTGACCGGACAAATATTGGATCTTGTGTCTTTCATTTGGTTCATACTGAAAATGTTTGCACCAGCTGGAGATGTGCCCGACAGTTCCATGCATGGCCCTTCACAGGCCAAAAACTTTAGGACTACCTGGACCCGTGGTTAGTCATGTGATATATTGTTTTATGACAAAAATGATCTAGAACTATATGGTTACACTAGAAGTTACTAATGTTCGCATTCCTTCTGATTTTTATATGTTTGAGTAAAGATAAAACTTCAGTGTATGAATTATCAGATTGTATTATACGTGTATCTAAATAAATTTTGTCCAGGGCTTTGGTCAAACTATTACCAATCGGACATTTTGTACCTATCTCTTGAGACCTACAGCGGGTACCCGGGTTGGGTTGGGTAATACTGGGGGTGGGTACCCGGTTAGTAAATTTGGACTCGTCCCAGCACTACAAGAAAGGCTGGCATCATGATACTCATAAATAAGGTATTATATTCACCATACATGTGAAGATAAGTAGTCAGTTCTGGAATTCACTTGGCATTAAGCATGTTTTGCAGGAAGGTGTTACATATGAAGAGGTTGATGAAGCAAGTTGAAAAAGACACTGATCAGTGGTATTCTTGAGATGTAGGCGCTAGTTGGTCAACAGGTTTGGATAAGGCTATGAGATCAATATTTTATGAAAGGAATATTTTCCAGTGGTAATTTTATACACCACTTGGATAGGGATATTTCTATCTTTCCATGATGCAAAAAATGGTTCTCATATGTCAATATATATTTTAATATATCTGACATATCTGATTAGACAAGTCAAGTGGTATATTTTAAGTAGTAATTCAGTAGAAAATATTTATCAGAAACTTATGTTTAAATGAAGCTAAACCTTGAGAATGATGTGTATCTAATCTTGAAAATGTAATGCATCTAATAAGTAAGGTGTGTTTGGGTCACAACACTGACAGACAGTCTAGGTTTCATGCATTTGTTAATGTTTAATATTTCTCTGCAATTTACAAGAAATGGCTTATATTTTATTGGCATGTTGAATTGTTTGTCAGGATGAAACTAGCATCAGGGACCATATTGATGAAATGGGATTGTAATGAATTAAAAATATGCATGATTTATGTAATAAAATAACTTTATTTTTGTGGATGTTTTGTTTTCACATCAGAAGCTGGTGTTGCCATGTGGTTTAATGTGGAATGAACAATATAGGACTGGTCATTTATTAAAGGGGTGGGTGGGTGTCTTCTCTTATTGCCTACAGTGTCATCAAAACAACATCATGGTTCAGGGCATACAATAGCAAAACCTTCATCCCTCTACCGTAATGGACTTATCCATGCAATGCCATTGTCAACAAACAAGGACTAATCTTATACTTGTAGTCGACTTGTAGTTTATGTTATATATATACATGTATATTTGAACATAAAAAAATGGATAACAAATATTTGACACTTCTCACAATGTAAAATCCAAGATTTGATCCCCAAATAATCTCATTACATACATACATACATACATACATACATACATACATACATACATATACATATATATATATATATATATATATATATATATATATATATATAGTAATAATTGAATAAGTGGAGTAAGATTGAACACAGTTTTAATAGGCTAGCGCTTTTACGAGTCTCATCAGGCCATAACTGAATAACGGACATGAAGTAGCGCTAGCCTATTAAAACTGTGTTCAATCTTACTCCACTTATTCAATTATTACTATATTGTGCCTGAGAGTTAGAACTTTACTGTGCTTTATATATATATATATAAAGTTGATAATGAAAAACATTTGACATTTGTAAAATCCTTACAAAGAAATTATGAAATCCAACCCTTATAATACTTGTAATACTTATAACACTTGACACTGTTAAATATTAGACACTGTCTGGTCCAAATTAGTCCAGTTTCAGCAATCCCCCAGCAGCCGCAAGGAACTGGAGTGAGTGAACTACACCGATCTGCAGATGTATCAAGTGTGGACCAGACAATCCAGTGATTGATACCATGAGCATCGATCCAGACAATTGGGATTGATGACATGCATCAACCAAGCCAGCGAGCCTGACCATCCGATCTCGTTAGTCGCCTTTTTACTTAGTGTGTGACTGTGATCAATACTTGTGCATCGGTGTATCTTCCCACCACTACTATGAACACAACTATTTTTTCAAAGGATTAATAACTTATGAAAATGCACAGTTTCCCCTTTCATCTACTGGGTGTTGAGAGGCCACAGATTTACAACAACATGTTTCAAAGCAAACTCACAGGTTTTTCAACAGAGTAAAGTACCGTATTTGATGTAATAAGCGCCCCGTTCTTATAAGCGCCCACGGCGATATTGGCTAGTGAACAATCCTAATTAGCACCCCTTCCGATAGATCAATGTACAAAAGACTAATTTATTCGTGTATAATACGCACGTGTGTTATGCACCCTTAATTATGGGCAATTAAGTTCTGGAAGAATATATCTGGCGTATGCAAACATTTTAGGCTGCCGGCATAAACCACGAAATTAACGATATTTTAACTCTGTTTTTTTTTCCCCAAAATAATATTCTAATAATATTTTGAGAGTGCCCTGGACGCTTATTACGTCGAATACGGTAATATTATACAAAATATTACGGGGTGCATTTTTCATAGTGTAGGCAAAGTGCACTAAAAACCAGCTTTACTGTAGGCGAATAGAGCGGGAACGTCACTTTGTCCTCAAACATGCATTATAAAAAAATAAAGCTATGAATATATTATAAATATAATTCACCACCAAAGACGATTGAAACCCAAACGTACTGGTGCTAACACCCTAACTTCGCAACTGGCGAGAGGGGCAAAATGTTGTCTCCCTAATAAAAGCGCATGGTTCAAGCTCTCAACAGCGAAATGTCCTGCGCTCTTGCAACACGTTACAGCACGGATGGAGCTTATGCTTGTTGCTAAAAATAGAATCGCGTCACTTTATTATTTCCGTCGGCTGTGGACAGTGATGTCGAACCTTCTCGACAGTGGTTATCAGAAGAACACGTCAGTTCCAACATTGCACAACGGTTGCTCAAGTTAGCTGCACTGTATATAAACATGAAAACAACCCGACATAAACAAGGGCTGTCAGTCAGAGTGGCAGTGAAATTTGTAGGGACAGGCAAGTTCGAAGGCATCGTTTTCGGTTTTGCAAAGCAGAGCTTGGCTATTCACTCCTGATTATTCTTATTATTTCCAAATTGCTAAAAGATAGGCCTATTTACATCTGAAATACAGGATTGATTTGCAGTAATTGCCTAAATTTAAACCGGCATATGCATGGAAAGCTCAAGTGTTTGCATGTAATGTGATTTGTCTACTTGTAAATATTGACAAAAACGGAATAGCAAAAGCCATAACAACGGTATAATATAAATATTAATTAATTGACAGTGTGTGTATTTTTAAAAAAACAACACCTTTAATCTTTAGAAAAGTAGGTGGTAGTTATCACACAGAATGCCAGATTGTGTGTACCATACTGACAAGGTCAAGTTTGAGAGTGTGAGGAAAGACCTGCAAAAACTGCAGATCTTACCCAAGAAATATGGACCTCGCTTGGCTATGACTGTGTGCACCTGTCGAAAGAATGTGAAGAAAGGTGAGTAAAATTTGTTTTCAGAGATCGAGTATGATCAAACAAACTTACTTCAAACGTGGATGAAACAAATGGTTTCTATATAACAGTTAAACCAGACAATTATTCCCCCTTCTTCTATGCATCTGTTTTCTGTAAAATACACAAGAAAATGTAGACTGTCATTCAGAGTTACAGATAAGCAGCGTATTTGTGTAAAATACCCACCAAAAATATTCAAAACCCAATTACTTGCAATTAACTTGCGTACAGATACTACAGAAACACATGCATTAAATGAAAAACTAAAATGTATAAAAGCAGCTCACGTAAATACCCAATGAAGCTTTTTCAGCATGCGTACAAAGGAGCTAATTTCTGAAACACAATTAGGAGCTAATTTACTTTCTGAGGCAAACCTATATATTTAGAACAGTTAGATTCTATATACACCTAAAACATTATTTCATTTTTTTTAATCTTAAAATTTTCACTACTTTTGGGAATAACCCAATAGAGTGATGAATAGATGAATGAAGAAATATTGGTTACCCAAAGAAAAATGCCATAACCCAATTAAAATAGAAACCCTAGAGTAAAAACTTAATTGCTCAAAAAGTTATCTGGAGCTCTGGTCATATGTAAGTTTTCAATCTTAGCATGTGAGTATTGGGTGCTTATAAACATTTCTTACACATTAGTCTTAGAAATTGTCAGGGGACCCTTGTTAAACTGCTCTTTGAATACAACATATCAAATGCATTCTACCGGCTCTCTCTCTTTCTTGTGTTACAAGCACAAGAATCTAATAAGATAAGAAATTAAGATTATATAGTCAACAGTTGTGTCAACCTTTGATGTTTCAAATTCCCGGTTGTCTCGAGCTCACCTTCTGGTCCCTGTTAATGCCTTCTCCAGTTACCATCTAGACTCGGATCTGTCGAACTGAATGTGTCACATTCCCGGTTGTCTCGAACCCATTTGGGAGTCCCAAATTAAGCATAAAATTATCTTGATGACTCGAACAGTTCAAAATGAAAAAAACAAAAATGTCCACACACAAACGCTCGCCAAACTGTCAACTTTCAACTGACTTCACACACAACTGACTGACTTCAATGCATTTGACGCTATTACATCAAAGGCCAGGCACATCCTAACAACATGCCATTATCGAATCAAGGCAAATTAGTAACAATGGTGCAAGGACTAGCAGAAAGGATCTTAACTGTTCTCATGTGACTGCCGATTACACGTGAAAATTGAGAAATGTTTAAAACGGGTTACGATTATGTCAGTGAATCTAGCTATTATTCGAGATAAGACTTAAACTTAACCAATGAGGCCAATCAAGATGGGGACTGTGAGATACGTCAAAGTTGCCGCCCCCTTCACTACCGGCAGCCTGGGCACTGAAATTCACGTACATCTTGAAATCTGGTGTTGCGCCTGGACCTGGTATTAATCTCTCATAACATGTTGTTTGGATTTTGAAAAATTACTTTCTTGGTTGTCTTGAATCCCGGTTAATTCGAACTTTCTTCCAGTTCCCTATGAGTTTGACACAACAAGGATTGACTGGTGTACTTTTCACAATATAAAATAACATGCTCATGATCGTAGTGAGGTGTTTTACAAGAGCTTGCATTATTGACAGACATAAGCTATTGATGCTCTCTGAATACATGGAACCTTCTGAGGCAAGGGAGGTAACTGACTATAAAAGTCCAGTTTCCACTCAACTTTCAAAGTCGGTTAACTCCCTTGCCGTAGGAAGATGTGGAGGGATGTACATTTCGTTCATGCTAGCACACATCCTTTAGAGGCCCTGATTGTACGATGAGGATTTTTAAGTTTATAAGGTTTGGCCTGGTATTTGTTGACAGTAAATATACAATATAATTACGGTTGGACATTTGTAGTGAACTGAAGTGGTTATCTTTTCTTATAATGAAATTGAACATGTTGTCAGAACAAATAAAATCACAGATCTTTTTTATTGTCTATGGATAAGAGCTATTTAATTGATTAAGACCAAATATTAAAAATCTTGCAGGCATAGGCCCAGAACATGGTATGAATCTGGTTTGGTTTGTTGTTTAACGCCACACTCTGCAATATTCCAGCTATATGACGGCAGTCTGTAAATAATCAAGTCTGGACCAGACAATCCAGTGATTGACATCATGAGCATCGATCCACGCAATTGGGATACGATGACATGCATCAACCAAGTCAGCAAGCCCGACCCCCCGATCCCGTTTGTAGCCTCTTCGAAAGCATGGGTGGTGCAAGACCAATTCCAACACAGATCTTCACGGGCTGAACAGTGCAATGAACATGTTGAACACTTTCTTCATGACTATCATGAACAATGCACCTTGTCCAAATACAGCAACTTCTCCCTGGTGTTAATACCTGGTGTTAACGTTAACAAACATCATGTTTAAACATGAAAAACACTGGTACTCACTCATGACCAATGACACCAGGTGTTCGAGAAAAGGAAGTTGGCATCAGTGTCACCCGCCATACAATCTAATTTGTATACAAAAAGATGGTTAGATAATGTATGGCTAAGTACATCAGTTAGGAAGTAAGTTAAAAAGTCAGGGGTGTCCATAATCCTATCTCTGTCACAAGACACCAGACAAAAGTGGAATCCACAGGTCAGAGGTCATAAAATATTTCTATTTACCATACACATTAAAAAAACTTATCCATGAACCCAATGATGACATGCATCAACCAAGTCAGTGAATCTGACCACCCGATCCTGTTAGTCGCCTACCATGGTATAATAAAGAGTAGACCGATTGTTACCATTACTGGTTGCCATGACAGATATCTTGGCTCCTCCATTTTTTGTTTCTATAGTTTGTCTCTTATTTTTGTTACCCAAACAACTATGTTAATGAGTGTACTTTTTATTTCATTATATTTATAAGCCTTGTGGTTTGTGCATATTTACAGGTAATTATGATGTACACAGCCTGGAAATAACCCGTGGAGAGGTGGCCAAAGTATACGACGATGTGAACCTGCCGAAGTGGGATGCTTACCCCCAAACTAAAGACTTTGTTAGTAATGTGTTGTCTACGTACTATACTGGACTAAGCAAGAGGAAGCTGCTCTGTGTTCTGGTAAAGGCTCTTGACAATGATTTTAATATCTTCGCGCCGGAAATGAGACTGAAACCGATCAAAAAGAAAGAACACAAAACGTCCCCCTCAGCTGTTCATTATATCATCAGGAAGAGGAAGAAGTCCTGCTCAATCAAGACTGACGTCATCCTCCCATTGTTTGGAGGGAATAGCAAGTCTCTTGAACCGGCTACTGGTAAAGGGTTTTGTGAAGTGAGTAGAAAGTTTGACTGTGTGGTTCAGTTTGATGGAGAGAAGACGAAGATGTTTATGGACAAAGGACAACAGAAGACCATGGTTACTGTGTGGTGCAAGTCGCAGGAGAGTCTTGGAGAGATCAGTCAGTATTTGACGGCTGCTGCCATGAAGATTCAGGCTGAGACGTCCAGAAAACATGAACAGGAACACCGTAAAAGGGTAAATATATATGTTTCCTTCCTTGTCTACCATTGTCTACCATTGTCTACAGTCTTGGTAGTGTTGTTTCCTGATTGGGGTTTAAGTTTCAAAGGAAGGGCTAAATTCATTAATTTCACATAGCATCTGCTAGTGATTGGCACTTGCATTAATTTCATGATTTACTTATATACACTGAATAAAAAAAGTTTGGGTTCATGGATAATTATGGGGAAAACCATGTGTTTTAAATGTATATGGTAAATAGAAATATTTTTGTTTTATTATGTTTTTCTATTTGTATGATCAAGACGGACCTTACTATTTTTGTGCAATTGAATAATTTGCTGTTCAGTTTAAAAAAAAAAAAATTATTGCTGAATACCCTGAGAGAGATATCTGTACACTGATACAGTGTGTATTGTGACATCCCTGTGGTGTGTATTTACGTTTAGGTTGCTGCAAGGGAAATCAAAAAGTCTATCCACCTTAAATCCAGTCCTGGTGACCAAACGGCTTATCAGTTTGAAATGGGTGAGTTTTCTGCTTTTACATTTACTCCTTGTAGGAGAAAAGGGGTAGAATAGGTCTTCAGCAACCCATGCTCATGGTAAAAGGCAACTATGCTTGTTGCATGTGTTGTAAGAGGCGACAAATGGGATCGGGTGGTCAGGCTCACAGACTTGGTTGATTCATGTCATTGTATCCCAATTGCATAGATCGATGCTCATGATGTCAATCACTGGATTGTCTGGTCCAGACTCAATTATTTACAGACCACTGTCATATAGCTGGAAGATTGCTGAGTGTGGCCTTTAACAACAAACAAAAAAACAAACAAACAAAACTCCTTGTAGGATGTTTAAGGTTTGAACATGTTTATGTTTACATCAACCATTGTTCATGTCATCACAGACAGTTTTATGAGACATTGATCCAACAATGGATTTCTTGAGTTGATTTCTCCATTTGTGGTTGGGAAACCTATATTTGTTATATGTTCACACAAAAAAATGGGTAATACAAGGATATAGAATAACCTGCCCACAACTGCAATCTTGTCTTGTAAAATATTGTAGAAAGTACCCTGCCAAGACTTGGCTGCTACAAAATGTATTTACATGGGACAGTTACCCAAAATTTGTTATAGCTCATAGCTTATTCTCCAGGGGCGGTCGGGTAGCCTGGTGGTTAAAGCGTTCGCTCGTCACGCCGAAGACCCGGGTTTGATTCCCGACATGGGTACAATGTGTGAAGCCCATTTCTGGTGTCCCCCGCCGTGATATTTCTGGAATATTGCTAAAAGCGGCGTAAAAACCTCACTCACTCACTCACTCACTCACTCACTCACTCAACATATTTTCATTTGATCCTGTTGTAATGACATATTTTGTTCTTCAGATCGGAAGGATATAATGTCTCTGGACTTTGAGAAGAAAGTTATGAAGGATGATAAACAGTACGTACTACGGGTTCATAATTCTATATACACTGATTCACAAAATGGCGCTTCGTTGTTGATGACAACAAAAAAATGATCATAATGAGATTAAAAAAAGACAAGAGAAACAGCTTCCCACATAATGAAAGTGGATGACTGGTTTGTTAAATCTTTATTACAAATAATAATGACATTTTAATTATAATTACAACGTTTTTCATCTTATATTATTGAATATCTGCGAGTACCGGCACATGTCTTGCAGTCAGACTTCACAGTGTTTTTTGCCTTTCACTTCCTGGTTCGGCTTATCTGCGGGTCATATCATTTTCTTTCGTATTTTAATGGTCAAGTTAACACCTCGGCTTATCTATGGGGATGGCTAATCCGCAGTCATATACGGTACTTGAACTCATTAGGGACTGACATTTGATATTCTGGGGGGAGGTGCTGGGATTTGTATGGAGATATTTTTCAGTTACAGCTACAAAACCAGACATTGTTTTAGTTAAAATTATGAGCCTAAGTATCTTTTTTTAAATACACCTTGCAACACCTTGGTGCAGAAAATGCATTTGTATTTATTCTAAAAGCAGTCTAAAGCATAGTTATATTTTTCAAGCATTTTCTGGGACAATTTGTTTTATTCAATACAATCCAAGTTAATTTGCATATGCAGTGTACTCAAAAATAATGATGAATGGGCTGTTATTATCAAATATCTAGTTTTGGATGCATTATTTTCATCTTCCCGAGGCAAGGGAGTTAACTAAATATAAAAGTCCCGTTTTCACCCTTGCTGAACTAGGCTGGGATTATGGAGTTATATATATTTTGGCTTGACTAGTGAGTCTAAGCATAATCCAAAATCACGTAACAGTTGACATCCGGTTCGTCAACTGCCGTGCAGATTGCAGAATTTGTAAAGCATGTGTACCATCAAATCGACTTCAACAGATATTTTCAATATGATTTAAGGTTTCTGATCAAGGTGCTCACATGCACTTTGCGAAATAACACCCGTTTTATCACAATATAGATCTTGATCATTCGTCTGATCATCATGACTGGGCGCCGCCATTTTTTTTTAAAGCAAATGCTATGAGAGGAACCTGATTGGTCATTTAGAGGGACAAGCTCCTTCCCAGCGTGCGACACCTTCATTAAACTCGCGTTATAGAGCATGTAGAGAGCTCTGTGAGTGGGCTATTGCTGTGAGGATCTTGTAAGATGGACATAGAAGGGACATAACTCGTAATAGCCACTGGTGAAGCCGAGAAATTCCAGCCAAGTTCAGCAAGGGTGGAAACTGGACTTTTACAGTCAATTAACTCCCTTGCCTTGAGAAGATGGTCACATCTAGGTATTCTTTTCAAACTGAATCATTGTCATTTATTTTTCAGTAAAAGATACCAGCTTTGTGGCAAGGACAGGTTTGACCCCCTAGTCGGAGGTCACTGTCTGAACTGCCTCAAGACATACGACTCCCTGAAGGAGAATGGTGATGTTTGCAGGTACCACAAAGGTTTCATATGTAAGTAGTTGAGGTGCTGTGGGGAAGCCTAGTGATTATATTGTTTGCTCGTCATGCGGAAGGCCGGGTGTACTTGTATCCGATCTATCGCAGGCCTCGGGGGCACGGGTGGCCCAGTCGTCTAAGGCGCCGCAATTCGCTGTGCAGAGCTGCATCCCTTGGGCACGCCAGAAACCTATGATTGTGGGTTCGAATCCTGGTTCGCCCTGATTATGTTTCTAGGTTTGTCAGCGCCATACCCGTGCTCGTGGGTTTCACCAAAGTGGTAAATGTCTGAGACCTGCATCACTTCGAGCTTTCCTCCCACATTAAGCTGACACGCCGTAATATAACTGGAATACTGTTAAAAGCGGCGTTAAACCAAACTCACTCACTCACTATCGCAGGCCTTAAAGCTGCGACTAAAACATTTGCTAATGCGACCTAAATTTCAATTTTTCTACTGTCTAAAATTCAGAGGTAGCCAAATGACTACCTTGAAAAATATCTTGTGGCGACTAAATTCTATTGCTACACATATATAGACACAAAAATAAATAACAGCTGATCGTGGGAAAACATGTCTGTTAATAATTGTACTCGCAAATAATGCCTCCTAAAGTCGACAATGAACCGAAATACATAAATATTAATGTAATTAGTATTTTATTTTAGCTGACAATGCTCATTGGATAAGCAAGGATATACCTATATAATCTAGAAACATAAATTGCATCATTGTTCGAGTCACACAAATTACAAAAACCATGCACAGTTTCCACAAATAAAAAAGTCCAACACTAATGCTATGACTTGTACATACTATAATAGTTATTGAATCAAAGATAATTTCAAATGCTTTTGGCTACCTACAATATTGCCTTGACTTCTTAATTTTACCACTGGCTACCTAGAAAAAAATACTTGTAGCTAGATGGCTACTTGGTGAAAATTTAAATTTTGAGGCCTGTATCGCCTCAGCCTGACAGGATCGTATAGGGATGGGCCACTCAATATTCTGTGATTCTACAGGGGTGGTGTATGGGAAGTAGTAGGGCTGGGACGGGTAACTCGGGTACTCGGGTCGGGTGGGTCCTGAGTAGGATCCGGTACCCACATGACTACCCGGACCCGTGGTTATTCATGTGACATACTGTTCAATGACAATAACAATAAAACTCAATGGTTACACTACACATTTCTTTCTCACAATGCAGGCATTCGTTCTGACTTTTATATATGTATACATGATCAGATCGTTTTATATGAGTATCTGAGTAGTTTTTGCCAGGGCTGCATTAAAACATTTCCCATTCCGAGACCAACTCTTGAGACCTATAGCGGGTATCCGGGTAGGGCCGGGTAATAGGGTGTCAGGTACCCGGGTAGTATATTTGGACTCGTCCCAGCTCTAGGAAATAGCTTTACAAAACAATTGGATGTATCCATGGTAACCCAAAGGAGAAACCATGGGAAAGTGACATTCATCACATATGTCGGCACCATACCGGTGCTCGTGGGTTTCACCAAGACCTGCATCACTCTTTAATGTAATGTAAATAACAATTTGTGGTAAGAATTGATTGTCTGGGTAGCAACATGAGCAAATATAGTAATACCCATAAAATATATTTAATGTTTTTTTATTGTTATCATTGAGATGGGATTCAGCAATGGGTGGAATTCAAGGAGTGAGTGAGCTGGGTTTAAACGCAGTATTCCAGTTACACCAGTGCATGTCAACTTGATGTGGGAGGAAAGCCTGAATTGATGCAGGTCTCAGATGTTTACCACTTTGGTGAAACCAATGAGCACAGGAATGCTGCTGACAAACGTGAAAACATAATCAAGGCAAACCGGTATCTGAACCCACAATCATAGGTTCCAGGCATGCCCTAGGGACGCAACTCAGCACAGCAAATTGCGTCGCCTGACATGCCTTGGGACCCCTGAAGATCTGTGGTAGAATAGGTCTTCAGCAACCCATGCTTGCTATAAAAGGCGCCTATGTTTGTTGGAAGAGGGAACTAACGGGATTGGGTGGTCAGGATCACTAGACTTGGTTGATGCATGTCATTGTATCCCAATTACGTAGATCGATGCTCATTTTATCTAGCACTAGATTGTCTGGTCCGGACTCGATTATTTACAGACCGCCATCATATAGCTGGAATATTGCTGAGTGCGGCGTTAAACAACAAACAAACAAAACAAAAGAAAGCATGGCCGGGCCACCAATGGCCCCAGAATTGAAGGATAACATAATGAGGCTGATTTCACTGATGCACCAATTCTGTGTTCAAAGTCTCCCATAAGATACAGGACACTTTTCCTTCTGTAAAAATAAGTATTGTTTCACAATTTACCTGTACTTCAGACAGTTTATTGATTAGTGCTGACCAACATTTTTGCTGTGGTCCGTGAAGTGGATTATTTATTGTCATCTTGTATCAACTGGTGACGGCAGCATCTGTTAACCTTTCTTTATGGGATGTGTGTCACATCAGTCTGTGACTTTAGACAAGCCAGAGTCTTGTAACATTCTGTTCTGTTTAGTAAGCTCAGCTAATGACACAAAAGTGTATTGAAATGAAGAACAGGCTGGTAGACTCAAAACATTTTGCACAGATTGTCATGTCATGTGCTAAATATTGCAACATTAGTAGTATTGAATCTCCTGTGTCCTGTGTTCCTGTTCTGTGAATTCTTGTCAAATATTAATTTTGATTACCGTATCTGTTCGTGTATAATACACAGTTTTCTCCATCATTTTTAGACTCCAAAATTATGACTTCATATTTCACTCTACTAATTGTTATCCCTTTTCCTCAGCCAAGTTGTAAATGTTTATGAATATGTAATGTTTGAAAGTCAGGTACTTTCTGTGCAGTTCAGGGAATACCCAAACTGTTGTTTTATTTCAGTTTACTGCGCCGAGGAGAGGTACTACACGTGGAGCTGTTGTAGTTACAGTGTACAATACTTGAAGCCAACTCATGCTGAACACTCCGTCAGTGGGTAAGGACCCCCCTTACTAATTCTCTTCACTGTCCTGGGACCTGTTCCAGGGCCCCGTTCCACAAAGCGATCTTAGCGCTAAGATGATCGTAACTCACATACTTTAAAATAGGCTGAAGACAATCATAGCACTAAGGTTACTTTGTGGAACGGGCCCCAGAAAGCTATCGTAAGGCTGAGATGATCTTATCTCCCAATCATAGCGCTATGATCACTCATCCTCGGTTATCCAGGGTATTATATTTCCATTCTATTGTGTTAAATACCCTGGATCCATGTCTCACCATAGCCTCCTTGACACTAAAAAGCAGCCCAGTAGCTATCTTTTTTGCATTAATGTTCTGAGGGCGATGTTGACTTTTCCTCCAAAACAAAGCCATGAATGGGGATAGAGTAACGGTGACCGCATTTCGGGTTTCGGCAGCTTGGCTCTTAAGAGTTTCTAGGGCTTTGGTCCTACCCCAAACTGAAGCACATGTAACACATGTGGCGTCTCCTTAGGCATGTGACTGTTGGAAATGTGCCTCTGTTCACCCAGCAGTGAATACGTACCCAGTAGGATGACATGGTAATGTGGTTGTTACCTTCTAGCGCCTAACAGGCAGCCTGGGTTGTATACTCCCCTGGGAGCTGAGAATGATTTTCGAGTGCACTCTGGTCCACTGACTGGGATAATAATAGCGTTTTGAGCATGCCCCTGAGTGGTGTGGAATATATATCATCACATAATGAAGAAATAATATTCCAGATAATCAAAGATGCTGCTCTATATGGTTGCCTTGAGCGACTTGTTAAGGATCTTAAATTCTAAATGTGTGCTGGTGGGGTATAGGCAACAGAAACAGGTTCACTGCAATTATCTCCCTTGCCTCAAGAAGGTGCAAGCTCCTTCACAGCGCGTGACACCTTCGTTACACTCTCGGTAACATCGCTGCCACCAGTGTGGGCGCGGCCATTACAAGAATCTTGAAATTTGCCCTCTAACCCCAAATGCAGTAACGTTGATACTTTTGTTTATGTCTTTGGGGATGCTATCATATTTCATTTTGAAAAGGTTTACGACTGACCATGTTTTCCAGATGAATTTACTTTGTTGTTTTAATAATCAGATTGGTTCGAGATTGCATACTAACGGAAAATCAACCAACTTCTCCCTTACATTCTTATTATATCAACAACACGAATGATTTAATGAAACAGAAATTTAAATTGACAAACGAAGAAAGTAATTTAGCAGCGATAAGTGTATTCGGCGTCATACGGGCGTCACTTGTTTGTAAACATAACGGTCATTCGATTGCGAGTTCAACTCCAAGCATGGTTGAGGCCACCTATTCACAGTGGGGAGTTTTGACTGGTGGCAGCGATAGTATAGAGAACTCCGCAAACGGGCTATCGCTGTGAGGAGCTTGAAGGAGGCGGTCTAATATGGAAGTACTGTTTTTTGTCTATGGAATGACTCGGACTACACAAAATGTTTAAGTTCAAGTTACTGTATGCTTTCAAATTAATTCTGGCAATAATAAAAATATTGTCATTTAAGCAAATGTTATGTTCAGTTGTGATAATATCTAACAATGGAGTAATTAATCATCTTCCTTGTTCGTAGTTTTTTAGCGAAAAGGAATTTAGTGGTATGGAATTGTTTCTTGAAAATACCAACATGTGGCATGAGTGGCCATTTCATTTCATCATAGCCGTCATCCCCCGTCCCCCTTATTTTTGCGATAAATGTTGGCACACACACACACACACACACACACACACACACACACACACACACACACACACTTTCGCAGTGTCATCTTTTCATGACCACTGGCCTCCCTTCCCTATAATAAGTGACCTGTCCCTATAATTATGTATTACACCACATTATAGCTAAACTGGATAGAATTATCATTAAACCGCCCATTTGTTATCAGAAATGAGCGGGCCACTGTAACTTGATAATGCCCTCATATTGCTTGACGACGGGCCATTATCACACCCGTTGTTAGGTGATGTCATATTGATGTTCAATAGTGACGTCATCTGGTTTGTTCTGTGACGTTTCCATATTTATAAAAGGGGGTCAGTGACATTAATTGTGTGTTGTTTGCAGTAAATGTTTCAAACCGATATTGTTGTTTATTTTTATTTGATAACAAATTCTAGCTATAATAACTGTAACACTATTTTTCAGGGCATTATCATTTACAGAAGCCCTAGGTCTTTTCAACTGACCTCCTTTGTCGGGCAGTGAAAGGAAAAACCTCAGGCTTCTGTAAATGATAATGCCCTGAAATATAGCATTTCCCTTTTAATAATCAATGTCTACATATGAGTTCTACTCCAACACATTTAGGTGATGTATCTGAATGAATGAGATGTTATGAATGAGTTCATACACTAAAAACATCTACTATATCTACACTTCTCCATTGTCAGAAGGTTTCCTCCAAAACTCAAGGATAATTTAAATCCTAGAGTGGAAGCATTCTTGTACATGTTGTAAACCCTATTTGTTTGTGTCGGCTGCGTAATACATGTTATATTTCAAGAATACGGTTTTATGTTGCATAAAATAATATTTTATTTTTGCAGATGCACTGAGGGCCAGCATGTTTGGCGCCCTCATCTGAAGGCATCAAGGGGAGACAAATCGGAGAACAAACATTGGAACCAGGTTCTCAGGAGCTATAAACATTAAAATGAATCAGAACATAAATGGTCAATTGCCTGAGCTGCAAACCGGGCCTTGGAGGTAGTGTGATCCATGGCCACACTGAAGGACAGGGGGCCCAGGTGGCCCAGTGGTGTAGACGCTGCAATTTGCTGTGCAGAGTTGTGTCCCATGGGCACACCAGGTACCTAAGATCATGTGTTTGAATCCTGGCCACACTGAAGAGCAGACTTTTGACTGTGAGAAGCTGAAATATATGCACATCTGTTATCAGTGTTGTAAAACTCTCGTACATCCTACTTGCTACTGGTGGATCCAGATGGGGGATGCTGTTGTGCCCCCCGTCATTCAGACACCCTACATATTTTGTGTGCACTCGGCCAAGTGACTTGGTGACATGGGTAATCTATGCACCCCCACCTTTTTTTCAAAATCCAGGATCTGCCTCTGCTTGAACTGTAGAGAGCTTGGGTAGAGCTGATTCCTATATGGAATAGTGAGTACATACCCGGTGTGCACTTATCGGGTGATCTGCATCTGTTTGATTGTGCTGTTCGTGTTGGGGGCTGAGGAATAGGTAGTGCTGGGCATAGTCAAAGGTCACTCTACGTACTGTCGAATTTGAAGAGGTTTAAATTTAGATAGGACCTTCTCCCAAATTCAGGTCATTATTGAGTCCATCTTTCGTTGGTTTCACCAAAGTCGTCATATGTTGAGTCCATGTACGCTTATCAGAGGGGAACAAAGTATGTGATCTGGACTACCAGTTGTCAGACTTCAATTTTTGCGAAAGGCTGGGTGGCTGAGTTGGTTAGATCGCTGACTCTATGTGCTGGCAATTAGGTGCCTCACTCTGTGTAGGTACAAATCCTAATTGGGACTCAACCCCCAAAAGTACTAGTATTTGTACCTTACTAAGAAAGTGTTATCCCAAATATAACATTTCACTGACATATGTTCATGGTATTGTATTTCATGTTGAATGACTGTTATATGTACATGTGTTATGACTTATTTTTAGAGGTTTTAAACTATTACATTCATGTACAAATAAAACCTGTTGTTACCATGGTTACAGTATGCATGAGTTTGTTTTTGGCATGCAGGGGTGAGAGGTCACTTTGGGAAAATCTTTGTAGATATCGTCCTCAAATGCCACAGTGGAGACCCAGATATGACATGACCCCAGCAGCCTATGATTAGCTTCATGGGGTCGGGTGGTAAGGATCCAAGACTTGGTTCCGTGTCATCTACCCTGACAGCGTGGAGACCCAGATATGACCCCAGCAGCCTATGATTGGCTCCAGGGGGTCAGGATCCATGACATGGCTCTGTGTCATCTACCCTGACAGCGTGGAGACCCAGATGTAACATGACACCAGCAGCCTATGATTGGCTCCAGGGGGGTCAGGATCCATGACATGGCTCTGTGTCATCTACCCTTACAGTGTGGAGACCCAGATATGACATGTACCCCAGCAGCCTATGATTGGCTCCAGGGGGTCAGGATCCATGACTTGGTTCCGTGCCATCTACCCTGACAAGGGGGTCAGGTGGTAAGGATCCAAGACTTGGTTCCGTGTCATCTACCCTGACAGCGTGGAGACCCAGATATGACCCCAGCAGCCTATGATTGGCTCCAGGGGTCAGGATCCAAGACTTGGTTCCGTGTCATCTACCCTGACAGCGTGGAGACCCAGATGTAACATGACACCAGCAGCCTATGATTGGCCCCAGGGGGGTCAGGATCCATGACATGGCTCTGTGTCATCTACCCTTACAGTGTGGAGACCCAGATATGACATGTACCCCAGCAGCCTATGATTGGCTCCAGGGGGTCAGGATCCATGACTTGGTTCCGTGCCATCTACCCTGACAAGGGGGTCGGGTGGTAAGGATCCAAGACTTGGTTCCGTGTCATCTACCCTGACAGCGTGGAGACCCAGATATGACATGTCACCAGCAGCCTATGATTGGCTCCAGGGGTCAGGATCCATGACTTGGTTCTGTGTCATCGTCCCCTAGACAGTGTGAGACATTACTGACCCAGACTATTATTCACAGGCGACATAGCTGGAATAGTGTTTAATATGCGTTAAACAACATTCACTCACCCGACAAGGTTGTAACAACAAAATCTAGCACATATTTATTTCAATTTCTACACCCCCTTGGGGACTTTAGATAGTTGGTGCTCTGTGACCATGTCTTTGATTATCCAGTGTGTTATGTCTTCTGATTGGCACAAAACTGACATCAACTAGCCAATTTAAGTGGGGCGTTGCTCATACTATGAACCACTGGTTTGTCGGTTGAAGGCTTGATTATTTAGTGTTCGTGATATAAATATATCTGGAAATCTACAACGACTTTTACAGGACCCGTGAAGATTCCGAGGTAGAATAGATTTTCAGCAACACATACTTGCCGTAAAAGGCGACTATGCTTGTCCTAAAAGGCCACTAACGGGATCGGTTTGTCAAGCTCGCTGACCTGGTTGATACAGGTCATCGATTCCAATTGCGTGGATCGATGCTCATGATGTCAATCACTGGATTGTCTAATCCAGACTCGATTATTTTACTGACCGCCGTCATATAGCTGGAATATTGCTGAGTGCGGCGTTAAACAACAAGCAAACAAGCAACAAAAAAACGACTTTTACACAACATTCAATCACCAATCATGACTTGGTCCATGCGTGTCGTATCTTTCGTGCATGTCATATTGATTTTACTAAACGAGTGTTGGAATTTTTGTGTTTCCAGGGCAAGCGAGAGGGTAATACACGAGCTCTCACACGAGTTTCGTGAAATCAGTACGAGATACAAGCGAGTGTTATTATTTCTTAATTACAGATTATTTCTTAAACCTTATGTGCTCCCCCATTGGAAACAAGACCGCCTCCGTGGTCAAGTGGTAGAGAGCCTGCCCGGAGAGCGGAAGGTCTTGGTTTATACCAAAAGATGTTAAAAGATGGTACTTGTTATCTTGCCAGGCGCTCGGCTATTACAAGGACTGGTCGGCTTGGAGTCAGTATACTGTGTCTGAGTAGGGTATTCCTGTTAAACAGCGGCATGGCATCTTAGTGAGCAAGAACTATAAAACCGGCATTAGTCCGGACTAGTCACACACACGTGCATGCACGTCGCTATATAAGTGCAATAATTTTGAACACAACCTTAAACGGAATTTCACCTCACCTTACCTCACATGCAAGTGGTGTTGGGCAGCCATGTGGTTAAGGCGTTAGGTCATACCGAAGATATATAATGTGCGAAGCCCATTCATCTTGTCTCCTCTCCGTGGCTGAAATATTACTGGTAGTATACCCAAATATATATCACATCTTAGCAAGTTCGTCTATTATTATTTATTATTTTATTATGCATGTGCGATAGATCCAACACGGAGACAGTCATATCACAGGGGGTGTAATAACCAGACCCATATTACACCCCTTGCCGGACTGATATGGCTTGTCAATGCATTTTGAATGGGCGATCGAGATCAGCCCGGTTGGTAAGAAATTAGAGTTACGTCCCTTAGTGCGTCGTCTGCTCGTCTGCCCAGCTCGGTTTCCCGTGACAATGACTTCCAAACAAGGAGAAATGTTTTGCATTCACTTGCAAATAGATACATTTTACAACCTCTAACTACAGGCCAATTGACAGCGATAAGCTCACACACAGGTAAGAACTGACCATTTGCGCTTAAACGTAAGTTTATAGGATAGTTGTGAGAAGGATGCTACCGCCTTCATACTTTTTAACGTTCCTGAGTCAGGCATACAGTTTTGCGAAAGAAATATTGTTTTTTCACTATTTACCTATCATTTTCACGGTTAATTTAAAACAGTCGCTATATGGCTGAAATAATGCCGATGCGACGTTAAAATTTAACTCGCTCACTAATTGAAAACCGATCCAAATCAATAGTGTGATCGTCCTCCATGGTTCTGTTTATCACTGATCCCTGTGAGTTAGTTGTTTTGAACATGATTTCATCTCAACATATCGTGACATCAGATTAATATGGAAGAAATTCCCAAGTAACACAGATCGTTTATTACCTTTCGTGAGTGAGTGAGTATGGTTTTACACCGCTGTTGGTAATATTCCAGCAATATCGCGGCGGGGTACAGCAGAAATAAAATTAACATTTACCTTATGTGAAACCCAGGAGCGTGAGAATGGTGCTGACAGACGAAAAATCCTAATCGGTGCGAATCTGGGATTCTTACCTACAATCAACCAACCCAGTTACTATCTAGGTTTGTCAGCACCAATCCCGTGCTCACATAGTTGGAAACGACTACACATGCCTTTGGCGTTGAACAACAAGAAGAAAACTTGTTATGGTAAAAAAAATACTGATGGAAATGAATAAGGGAACAAGTTTTAGACACCGTAAAATGATATCCTATCATCAGTTACCAGCCTTGTTTACCAAATACGCGTTGGAAACAATGCACACACAAACATCTCAACATTTGATTATGACGTGTTGAATTTGTATACGCGCTATTTCAAATGTACTGACCCTGTCTGGCGCTCGGCATTAAGGGCTAAAACAAGGACTGGTCGGCTCGAAGTCAGTATACTGTGTCTGAGTGGGGTATTCATGTTAAACTGCGGCATGGTATCTCAGTGAGCTAGCACTATAAATCGGCATCAGTCCGGACTAGAACAGGCAGCCACACACACACGTGCATGCATGCACGTCGCTATAGAAGTGCAATAATCTTGGACGCGACGTTAAACCCAATTTCACCTCACCTCAAATGTTCTGACAGTATAGCTTACTTCCCTTTATTTTTCATTGTTCCTTATTCGTTTCCATCAGTATATTAAGCTTTGTAAATGATTCTTTTAACAACTTATATTGTGGAAATGTGGTTTATTATTTCACAAAGGCGCTATTTGTTCGAATGCAGTTTCAAATTAATTTTCACCACTGCAGTATAATGAATATTACACTACACAGTATTAATATTCTAGTCACGTGGATAAACTGAAGCATCATAACATTCTTTAACGTTAAGATCTCTTGGTTTTCCTTCTAGGATTCCATACTTGGTTAAATGCAAACCGTTACCTGTAACGACCGGGTTAGACTTGGTCTTCAGCAACCCACGCTTGTCGTAAGAGGCAACTAACGGGATCGGGTGGTCAGACTCGATGCTCATGATGTCAATCACTGGATTGTCTGGTCCAGAGTTGATTATTCACAGACCGCCGTCATATAGCTGGAATGAGTGCGGCGTTAAACACCAAACGCGAAGTACTTGAATTTTTGTGCGAACAAGTCAAGTTTACGGGTGATACAACAAACAGCGAGTCCACTGCGTTCTGTGCATAGATGTCGACAACTATATTCGCGCTGGTAACACGTTTGGGTTTTGTCGTAATCCAGAATCAAATCACCTTTCACATCCTGCTGCTTTCAGTCGATTAATACTTTGACATTTATTGCCGTTTTCCAATGGATTATATCCTCTGACAAATGCATTTACATTTACAGCTCATCAACTGCAATCGTGATGTAACACACACGTCTGTGTACTCTGATGTCTGAGAGTGAGTGAGTGAGTGAGTATGGTTTTACGCCGCTTTTAGCAATATTCCAGCAATATCACGGCTAGGGACATCAGAAATGATGTGTGAGAGCGAACACACTCTGACACTGAACAGCCCGTTCCTAAATTCCAGAGAAATTGCATTACCAAATTCTTCTCATTTAGTTATCTTAAGCATCCTTATATATGCTTGTTGTATCCCCACCACCCACCCCTACAATCTCCGCTACCCTGCCATGAAGACCTGCCATGAAGACCTGCCATGAAGCACTGATCCGAATAAATGTTTGAAACAAGAAACCCAATCTGTTTATATTACCTTGCAAAACAAAACTATTTACGGCGAGTTTGAAAACCTCGTTAAATGGATCTCCTTCAACTCGATATTGTTAACTCCGCTTGTCTCGAATTACGGACAACTCTATAGTTAAGGACTATATAACTTTGTCTCAACAGGATCACTATCCGCACTTTGGTCTACCGACATTACGATTGTCTCGAA